ATCCCCGTATGAAAATTGCTATCGTCCATTTCTCGGCTTATCTACTCTCGCGGATATGTATGCAACACTCGCACGATGATTAACAAGTTTTCACGTTTGTACAGTTTTCCGCTCTCCTTGCATATTTCAATGTGGAGCTATAGTCTAAGTTAGTGTACATCGATTGTAAAGTGGCGCGTTTTAAACTCGCGTATAGATAGGATAGTGGGGAAGTTAGTTAATCTTATCGCCAAATGCAACGGGGTAACAGTTGCAATCAGTCAATGAAAACAGTTATTCCGAGAACGATTTTTCATTCGCATTAATGATTTTCAGCTTTGTGCGAGATAACGGTGCAGCAGAGGAACAGAGTGTCAATTTCCGTGTTTGTAAATAATTAATTTGCACAGAATGCATTTGTTGAAATAATTGGAGATTTACAATTTTTGATAGAATATTAGCTGGAGACTAATTGGCAAAATAAGAACAGTTTATAGTATTTAGATTGAATTGCATGCAAAAGGAAGGGTATTCCATTAAGAGCGGCTGATTTTCATGACAAAGTGAAATTTCAATTTTATCGCTGTCAACTCGGTCAGTGCGAGCTTTGATAAATATTTCAGCCGCAAAGGAGCCGTCGTCGCACAAACAAGCATAGCATCCCCGCACGCTAAAAGAAAAAGAAAGAAAAGAGTGCAGAGCAAATGATCTCGGTATAGCGGCTGCATAATGCATGCGCGCGGCCAAGTCGCAAACGAATACGCGTATATCTGATGTATAACGGAGCAAGCTCGCGGCGCATAAAGTATTCCGTGGACACGAAGAAGCTCGGATCTCCACGCGCGGGGCCCCGAGGGGGACATTCTTCCGCGAGAGCGAGATCTCGCGAACAGAAGAGTGGCCGAGTGAACGAGGAACAGTTTCTTGCCGCACTTTCCCCGGGAAGTACAACATGATTTTACTGCGCTCTGTCTGCTCTTTCCTTCTCTTCCCCTTCTCTCTCCCCCCCCCCTCTCTCTGTTGTTGCATGTTGCGTACACACATATTATATGTATATTTCTCTTTTTGGGGGTCGTCTGTTTTTTCGGTGAGCTTTTACGTAATCACGATGGAAACATTCGTGCACCAGAAAATTACGGGCGAGAGCGTGGCTCGTTTTATTGTGCTGAGCAGGGTTAAGCGCATCATCGCTTTAGATTGGATCTTACTAATAATCCATAAATTTTTCATAGTGCGATACTCACACGTAGTCAGTAGAGAAAGGAGTATTTTATTTTTTAACCTTAATGCCTGTCGAGTTCGAGCAATAATGTTTGTGCGTTATTCTTTATTGCTTCATTTTATTTTTTTTTTAATTAACATTCCTCACTGTAACTTCGCCTCGTCTCAAATGTTTTTGTGGCGGGTGATTTTTTTTATCTTGATTGAAATAGTAATTGATGAGAGAAATGATTCGATTTGTAATACGGAAGAAATCAATTATCGCGTGTATGATGAGAAAAAGTTACTTCTTTTAAACAAAACCATCGGAACAGATAGCAGATTGATCAGTCGTAAATTATATATATATATATATATACGCATGCCATGATATATAGATGTATCTTTTTTATTGGTTTATATAAAAAATCTAAAGATAATTGTACAATCGGAAATACAATAAGCTCAGTACACAATTCTGTCTTGCAATTATAAAAATCAACACCATATCAATTGAAAAAGTTTGTCTATTCAGTAGCTGTCACTCTACATTGATATCTTATTCATAACCATAAGAATTTCACGGTCTATCAATTTTGAATATCATTGGTATTAGAATCAAGCAATAATACAAACAACGATTTTTCTAAATTCAATTTCAATAAACTTCTTTTCCGTTAGTCGATTTCGTATTTTTTTTTATGACACACCTGAATGATTTATGACTTCATTGAATGACCGATTTTTCGCATTGCAATGCCATTACTCAATGATCCACTCGCTTTCTGCTCTTTTCATACATCTTTACCAGGGAAGCCCAAACCTTTTCAAAAACAAGACAATTGGATTCCTATATAGCAAGATGAAATGAAAGTTCCCAGACAATGCAAACGACCCAATCATCATAAATCGATTATTGTTCTTTATCGGCATATTCTCATCTTGCGGGTATTTGCTGCATATAAACAATGCCAATAATCAAGCAGCGTGGTCTCAAGTAATAAGTTTTTGTTGATTAAATTGACAAAAATATATATAGGAATATAAAGCATATAACCATAGTGAAATCAGTTGCTCGTTAACACGGTAAAAATATGTTAAAATATATTAAGAAATGCGGTTAATATGCATTACATGGAAACCGGCGATAAAAGGAAATATAACTGAGGGTAAATTATATCAAGCAAAGTGTGCGCGTACACTCTTGTTTCAACCGGAGATAAGCAAATCATTCGTTTTGATTCAATAAACTACAAAGGAAAAATGTCTCACATCAATTTTGCTTAAGTCTTTACTTCGTTGAGCTCATTTATTATTAATGAAAAAAAATACTTGTTTCACAATATTTACATTTACGGTACGTTTTTATAAAATAGCTTCTATTTATAAGTATTGTGAAATTCCAGTGTACGTTGCCTAAATGTGACTGAGTAGCACGATGAAATTGGTCTAATCAAAGTGTTTAAATAAGACATTGACATATACTTTGGCTTCAAGCAGAGCAATCAATATTTCTTTTTACAATTTAGTTGTTACCTATGACGGCTAATGTGAATATCGTATTTAATAAATAAGAGTCTATTCAGGAATGAATTGTACTGTGCAGCGTAATCGCACGTGCAATAACAACGAACGCAAATGGAATGACTTCGAACTAAAGAAAAACCTCGTAAAAATGCCGTAAAAAGTCTGGCCTTTACACGAGTCATGCAGTCGGCAAAACAATCAATCGATTAATCCGCTGCTGCTCGCTGAGCAACTGAGGACAATGATTCCTTTTTTTTTTAATAAAAACCACGTGGCAAGGTCACAGCACCTCATGTACGCCGACTCGACGAAATCAGCTAATTACAATACATATGGGTGCTCGAGCGGGCTGCGCGTTATAGCGATAAGGACGTATGTGCGCCCGATAAGTCGCGCGACTAACGTCGTCGGCCTTGTCAATCGTGTTTTTTCTCGCTTCGTTTCGAACCCTCCAGTCTTTCTCACTCGTGCGTGGTGTATCGCGTTTCTACGCTCGCGGTGACTTGTGACAAGTGCGGAGTTCCTTTTTATTTTATTTTATTTTTTTTGTGCATTCAAGCAGGTAGCTCAAGGTGTGATTTTTCTTTCATCCGTAAACATGCAACGTGTATGGAAAATAGATGAAACATCGGCACAGTTATTGTTAGTTTTGTGTTTATATGAAAATGTTTACGTGCGTCCGAACTGTCAGTATAGATGATTGATCGGACGCGAGCTTTCTATCTCGCGGCGAACGTGCTTTAAGAAATTAATTATCGGTATGTATAGCATTTTTTCGAGTAGTCACAAATTTTTCGACTACACCCAGGTTATCGCTAATTAGATTTCCACTTTCTCGAAGGAGGAATGTATCCCGAAAAAAAGCCTTTGGTATGTTCGGGTGAAGTTTTCAAATTTGACGCTGTTAATATCGTGAAAGTCGTTGGTATAACTACTCGTTAGCGCTGTTTTACATACACTTTGATAGCCTATCACTCACACTATGTGCACAATTTACTGATTGAACTATAATTAATAACGATAATATATATCGAACAATATTCTTTTCTTTCTGTTGCAAAGTTGCTTCACGTAGGAAAATTTCGTACACGAATCAGACCTCGGCTTTGAAATGTAAATAATCGTTGCGCTAGTGTGTTTCAATATTTGCCTCAGACACACTTATCCATCTACGCAATAAAATGAAAAAAAAGTCAAATTATATAATGTGGAACACGCTTGATGTCATCATTTAAAAGTTTTGAATTAAAAAAAAATAATAAGCTTGTATTAATCGAAGCAAGGCAGTGTTTCATTCAGAAAATTGAGTATTTACCATTAAAATTCATTGACGCGAAAGACTGCTGCATTAATTCATATGAAAGTTCTCGTTCGCGTGTCTTTGATGAGAAAAAGAAATCAGCCATTATCCCCAAATGCGATAGATATCGTCTGAGCGAAGCATAAAAGGCACGCGAGAAAAGTAAAACGTTCAACGAAATGTAAATACGCGGAGCGAGCATTATAGTCTTAAAAAGTCGAGAGAGTGAAATTCACGACTAATTGCTCTCAGGCGGGCGCTTCCTCGTTGAACTCTTAACGTATAGGATAATTAGCGAAGCATCGCTTTCTTTCGCATCGCGAAGCCGGCGACCTGCGGCTGAATCTATATAGTTATATTGAACGGTGCTTTCCATCCTTGCGGATGCTGCGCGCGCGCGCTTAGTAGAGAGATGACGGTATCTTGCGCGATCGATTATTGTTATTAACGGTTTTGACGCGGGGCGCGCGGCTTGTTTTTTCTTTACTCGAAAAAGCCGTGTGCGCTAAGCTTATAATTAAGCATGTAGGCTTGACTTGGTGAGAAACTGTGCCGTCGCTCGTTTGGTTGTATATATACACTCGACCGAGTGGGTGAATATGTACGTGGGCGGCGATCGCGAACGAGTATTTAGGTACAAAAGTAATTTCGCGAAAACATGGTCGTGGTGAAAGTTTGGGGCATTAAGAAAAATTACGTTTCGTGTTCGAAATTGAGGGCTTTAAATCAATGCTTGGAGCCTTTTTCTGTCCACAAAATTCACGCAAGGTTAAAAGAGTCATTATAATAATTTTTAAGTGAAAAATCTCGTTTGTCTTTTTCTTTGTTAAGAGAATTAACGGCATTAGCGCAAATGGTGTAACAAAAGTTTCCATCTACGTGCAATAAGTGTCGCGATAAATATTGTTAAATCTAAGCGCGTCATGCGCCATTCCATCTTTGCGTAATTATGTTACGTTGAAATATTTCAATGGATATATCTGGAATGTTACAGAGGATTCCGAGCTGTCCTGTGAAGGTTCACAGTCCACAGCCCCTGAAGGAGTTTGTGGGTCGCTGTCAGACGATGCCATCGCGAGTGAAAAAGTCTTTCTGTGGCTGCCTACAGGTAAAAAACTTTAAGCATTGTTCCGTACTGAAAAATCACATTGACACGAGCTGGTTCATTTGCTATCAAGGACTGTCGAAACTTTTTTACCATATTTTTTCCCTTTCGAGTACAAATTAACAAAAACTATAATGTCTGCGAAGCATTAGACTCACAGTTATACATGCGAAATAATGAAGAAATCGTGGAGCAATAAAAAAGCGATCTACGTAATGATGCTCAATTGAAGGCGCAATAAGAAAGTTGCCGGACAGCATAATTTGTCGCGCACAATGCCACAATATATCAGCAATTTCCCCCGTCCGAACCTCAAATCGACGAATGTAATCTCTCGCCTTTAAAGGTTCGCGCGCGTTTGTAATTACCATTCATTTCACGAGTGCGTGCCATTGCCTTCTGTATATGAATTTAATTCGAAGCCAATCACGCAGAAGGGGGCTAGCTTGCGCAGACAGTAAAAAAATATATCACGCACGCAAGCGAGCGCCGCTCTTTCACTTTCTCAGATATAACGGAAGCCGCCCGAATCCTCCTAGTGCGTTATACGCTCGAAATTTCAATTAATACGCTACATATTGCTTCGCTTTCACTCAGTGAAATTCAATTCAGTGTCGCCCGTACACCACCGCCAGTAATACATGTGGCGCAATTTGTTTTGCAGGCGTATCTATACCTAATACGCTCGTCATAGAAATGACTTGCTTAGAATTTTTATCGATGCTGATTTTCTCTTTTTTCAATCGCAGTGTGAAATTGTACGTAGCAGATCAAAGGTAAAAAAATCGGCGACGATTGTGGAAAGTTTTATACGCAGGCACGTATACGGGAGAAAATTGATTCGTTTGGTAATTAGCAAGTGCCTTTTCGAGTATTGCGTCCATTGTCATGTATCACTAATTGAAAATTCATTGGATAATGTTATATCGTCGCTTTGAAGAGTCTCTTTTTAAAAGTACGACTATGCTATACTTTTTCTCTCATTAATTTGCTTTTGTTATTGTGAATAATATTTAAATCGTCATCTGATTAGTTTCATATTAATGTTAAATTTATCGGTAAGATGTATTATACGTAATACAATTTGCATTTATTTTGAGATGAATTTCAAACTGACGTTAATCGCAAAACATTTTAGATTCATATCAACTACATTAATAAAAGTCTTTTACACAAGCCAAGCAGTTTCAAAGTCCAACAGCTTACTCAATAGCTCACGCCACTTGATCTTCATATGAATTTTTCTTAAAATTTGGACTAAATTTGAACTGGAAACATACTTTACAATTCTCGAAATTAAAAAGCAGTACAAAAAGAATGAGAAGCCTAGTGAATACTTGGAGATGTGCTTAACATGAACTCGTTTAAAAGCCATATCTAAGTTTGCGCGCGCCAAGAAAATTACCGTTCTCTTAAAGACCTTATTCTTAATAAACAAAAAGTTAAATGGCTACTGTGACTTACTACTCGTCATCTTAAATTGTTTCATTTCTAGTTTTCTTGCACATTTATATGTCCGTTAATATCTTGTACTTTGAATCATTCAAATTATCTTAGAGTTTTGATGGGTATTCTTAGACAATGCCAAGGATAATTTGTCGTGTACTTCCTCACTCTGACACAATTGTTCCAGTATTTTTTCAGCCTTCATTCGACATCAAGGAACGATTATCGATGTCAAGGAACTCGTGGACCATGAAATTAAATCATTTTACACTTCTAAGATAATTTTGCTGATTACTTGACATAACACATCTCATTCATGCATTTTAATTCAAAAATATATTATTTTTAAGTGTACATACATAGCGTATTTCTACAAAAGTGGTAATATCATATTATCGCATGTTGTTTTTAAAAATAATAAAATGTATGTGAACGAAAATAAAATACAGTAATCACATATAGGTATATAAAAATATATGTTGCCGGAAACATCTTAATTAAAGTTTATTAAACATAACTTCTAAATTAAAAAATTGTAGAAAATTAAATTATGCATGGTACTTATTGCGATAGTATAAATCAAGATGTAAAATCATAAAAACGTGCTTGATTTTCATTTCAAAATGTTTGCAATAACTTATTTAAATGAAAACTTGTATGAAAAATGTTATTAGACTTGTCACCGCAAGGGTGATTTTTTCAAGATAAGATTTACACCAGGTGTGAATAAATTAAACGTTTCTATCTCTTCTAAATTAGGTAACAAACTCACGCTCGATCAAATAATATGTGCGCAATACTTGTAATTCTTTTTAATAAGAGTAGTGCAATATTTAAGCAGTTTCATAAGAATCTTAGTCCTTCTATCTAATATTATTTTTCACGATACTGTAGGTTCTTTTCAATAAATTTGATTACCCACAAGTCTTGATGACTTTGTAAATTAGCACTTATCAATCAGCAAAATCAACAGGAATAAATAACATCAAAGAATAACAATATAATACTCACTTTGTCACGTAACACCCAATTAGTTGATTGAAAGCAATGTTCACGGAGCAACAGCTGTAGACTCATTAATTAACTGGAAAAATAGTAGCTGCGCGCCAACGTCAATGGTTATTGTAATAGCTGCAAACTAATTTATCATATTATATAATCCTCGGCCCGGCAACCTGTACTACAACTCTCGCGTATTATCAGGTCCGAGTGCTTTTATCGAAGTAACATGGCAATATATCAATGCATTTTTACTAGACGTCGCTTTCAATAATATACTATGCTCCAATTACTTGCATAGAAAAATTACATGACTCCGCCTGCATAAGTCTTGCATTTATGCAGGAAGAACTGATCTCTCGCTACACGCCGTGAACAACTTTTTTTTTCTCCGCTCCCCAGATTCGACGAATGACTTAACCGTGAGTGCATTTCCTCGCCCTCGTCGTCTGCTAGACGTGGCGTGGCGCACCTGACGAGAAACTATTTTAATTGCGAGTAATGGTAATTGCACAAGATTCTCGTAAAGAATGAGAGTGAACTGTGAAAAGTGCACTGTTGACGAATAGCGTCGCATTAATTGCCTTGTGCGCAGTGCATCCGAACACCCAAATTCGCGTGACTTGAATATCGCGTGCTATGCACGTACACAGAGAAAGGTACTTTTCGAGAAGATGCGATCGCGAGAACGGCGCGCTGTAGAGATGAGACAATGCAACGACGATTGCGCAAGGATTATTAGGGGCGCGTGTAAATATTTGCATGCTCCTCCTTTAATTCGTGCTGTTTGCCGCCTCAACGCTGAGTTATCGCTTTGCGGGCGGCTTTCCCTTTTCGGTCTAATTCGATTCGGGAAGACAAGCGTGATTGTGGCTTTTATGGTACTTTTACTTTTACTCTCAAAGATACTTGACTTGACTTGATGTCTTGTGAGGTGGCGCGTTTTGATAATGTAATTCCAGAAACATTGTGTACACTGTTTCTTCATTATTTCAACAGATTTTCCAGGCTTTCGTAATTTACTGTAATATTTGGCTTGCGGAGATTATTTTACAGGGATTTCTGGTATCTAAAATAAAATGGCTTCTAACTAAATGAGGAAATCGGATATAAGATATTCATAAAATGAAAAAGTCTTCACTTGTGATGGTACAAAATCACTTACATCATTATCGTTATATTTCTTACACCCACTAAATTAGTCAATCAACGAAAACTCTTGAGGATTCGGCTATTTATTTATACATTTATTCCAACTAATTCTAATGTGCCATACAAAGTTTGAAACGCAACCTGTTCTCACACTGGAGTATATGTCTTGCTATTGTTTGAGAACAGTTTATCTTGTAAATGAAATTTGGATGAGGCACAAGTTATTAATTTTTTCAAAATACATATTGATTTATAAATTAAAGAATAGGTATGACATTGAAGCAGAATCGGTTGTTGTAATTCTTTTTGAATAGAATGCTTCTTAAATCAACTGTACTTTCTCGCATTATTCTTACAACCTTAAATTTAGATGTCAAAGGTTATTAAATAATATTATTCAGATTTGGAGGAAATAAAATGCGATCTTCTCTTTGCTTAATATCTATATTCCTGATTCATAAAACTCATTAAAAATAGTCATTAACAGCGTATTATTAAATATTAATAATTGATCACAAAATAAACGAGCGGTGATAATAAAACATGATCCACGATGAGCCTCCCATCATATAAGCACATTTCCTCCCGCTATTGACTTACCGTTATATCGCTAAACAATGAAACGTTATATCGTAATGCAATTTCACCATGGAGTTGCCAGTGACGCCTGAAAAATCATATAATAAATGATCTCAATATACGAACCGCATGTATCTATGTGACGTAGTTAGCCTAGTTCTCATTCCGAGAAACTTAATTTTCCTTGAGAACATGTGTCCCATGAAAGATTCTGGATCTTTTGATGCAGCATTGTGAATGAGGTACGCGTAATGCCTCATCGATTATTCAATATATTTATGTTCGCGCGACACGACAACCCCGCGCTCAAGTAGTACACGCTCATTACCTCTTTGTTCGGCGATGTCTTGGCTGTGCAGTTGCCAGCAATTTAATGGTACCGCCTTCTTCGTCTTCTTATCCTCGGACTTTTGTTTCGCTTATTGAGGCACGCGACTTAAGTGTGTCATAACGTACGTACACTATCTTGCTTGTGATATACTGCCGGACATTATACCACTGTCTCTTGAGATGCTTTGGATGTGCTAGTTTTGAATAGAGAACGTGAGAGATCTTGTCTTGGATGAATGTCTTTATGAATTCTGCTAGACAAGTTTGCATCTTTTTATTTTATACACTAGCTGTGGCGTACTTTCTTTTCAAGTGCTTGGAAAAACTACATCGCTTCAAATAAATAGGTAATTTATATGATATTTTTAGCGTAAACTATGCGATTACCTAACAGAAAAATTCAGTTGAATATTCAATTTCTTGATTCAGCATCAATAATTCTTCTTTACGGAAAGAGTGAAATGGCAAAATTTCATATATTTGTTGCATAATAATATTTTATGCAGAGACAATAGGCCAATTCATATCGTACAAAAGTTACTTTGACAGTGTAGATTTTCACTGCGTATGTGTTCTGTCAACAGATTCACAATTTAAATGATGCAAAAATACATAAAAATGATAATTATCAACGTTCATACTGGTTTCTTTCAAATTATTCACAAAAAAATCTAAGAACTAAACATTCTCCGTTGATAACATTTAAGAGGTAAAGTTATTAACCTTAGCTTCTCTTTATTTCTCTCTCTCTCTCTCTCTCTCTCTCTCTCTCTCTCTCTCTCTCTCTTTCTCTGTCAACCAATAGAAAGAAAATGCAATATTCGAAAGAAAATTTCTGAAAATCATAATTTTGAGCAAGGTAAAATGAGTAAGCATTCTTAGTCTCAGAAATCGCAACATTTCTCAGGCTACCTCTATTCTGCCGAGGTGGCTCACGATATCAGCATTGTCATCAGCGTCGACCTCGCGGCGAATAGCACACAGCTCTAACAAGGTCACCACTGGTTTACCAAAGAAACGGACAGCGTTTTCATCGCAGGAAAATCTTGACCGTCTATCTCGTTTTACAATCGGCGACTTTTCTCTTCGATACACGCGTGCCGCTCGGACATTCTTCGCGAGAGTTTGCAAGCGCGGCTTTGGAATTCCCAAGTCGTGTCGGAAGTTGTCTCTTTCTCGATTGAACGCGTTGCGCTTGAGTTGAGGTCAAGAGGATTGACATACAATAAGCTTATACAATTTATTTAGACTGTTTGATAATTTTTAATTTGTTAGAGGAAATGATTGACGATTTTTCTTAATAATAAATGTATTAGTTACAAAATTTTCCTCTTGTAAAATAAATTAATTTATCTGCCTGTTGACTGTATTTCTAGAAAACACAATAGCGCCAATGTATTTTTCAAAAGTATGTAAGTGGAATAAGTATTGTGCTTTATTTAACGTTATGTTAATCCAAATTGTAAAGATATGTTTTTTGTTAAAGTAAAATTTATTGAAGCGCTAGCATTCAATTTTATGTCTCACTCGCTGACAGTGTGCAATGACACCAAGGATATCACGGCATATATATCTGCGTAACATTGATAACAATTCATTGATGCGCAAAGGTTTGTAACATTAATTTCAGATAAAAAAAAAGAAAAAGGTTTAGAGCGGAATCTTCCTGTTGTTGTATATGGCGCCACCAGCGATGATGCTGATGATAATGATGCTTCGTTTTTACGAGTCGAAAGCGACCGCGATTTTGGGAAGCGGCTATTAAATTTCTGAGAATACAGATAGAACGTAATGTGTGTGACACCTTAAATACTTTACTGCCGGCTTCGTAGACCAGACTGACAGGTCGATCTTAGCGCCGAGCATTTAGCACTTGCGTGTTTATTTTTTTTTAACTCGGACTTGATGTAATTCTTTTTTTACTATCATAGACGTAAATACTTTTACTTTCCCGATTATGTAGAATCGTTTTTTTTTCTAAATGACCGTTTGGAGAAAGTAAATGCCGCGTTTTCATTTGAAAGTAAGCGAAAAAAAATCATTTTACGATTCTGTTTTCGTCAAATCCACATATGTTACAAATATTTTCCGGGATACTTTCTAGCTGAGTTTTCATAACATATAATTTTATATAAAGCGTAAAACTAATGCATACATTACATACATTGTATAAAGTGAAGTGATTCTTGAAATATTTCATCTCCTTCTTCTTATCAACACAATCGAGTAACAGAATGTTAAAAAATACAAAAATACAGCTTGACTTGGCAGAACAGAGACAACGGAACAGATATAGAAGGCCGAGCTGTTGGTAAGTCTCGAGTTCGGACGTGAGTGTCTGAGAAATGAGATAGACCACAAGCCAGGAAAATCGCAAGGTAGAGGAAAAGTCCACCGTAAAGTCCGAGAGAAAAGAAAATCTTAGATCATAAGGTAATAACGAGCTATGGGCGAATTTTTTAATTAGGCGCGTGGGGAGCAATCTGTAACTTTATAGGAGGGGACCATACGAGTACAGAAGGTGCCCAACGTATCGATGCTTTAAAGGTTGTCGACAATGAGCAAAATATTTTTTATGTTTTTAAGAGAATTTTACTCTGGCAGCAAAAAGAAATTTATTTGGTTCCTTTACGTGCTTTAAAGTAAAATCTCTCTAAAATATTTGTCCAGAGTCAAGAGAAATTGGATACCATATGATCATAACAAATATCGAATCTTGTTAGCCATATAAATTCACAATGCGTCAAATTACTAAAATTGATTACATAACAATTTTTATTTACACAACAATGATATAAATGAGCCATATAAAAGCAATGTTAAAATTATAACTTAGAAATATAAGCGAAGCCTTGATGTTAGTCCACTAAAATATTTAAATTAATTTTTCAGGATGACGAGCCACCGGAAATTACGTATTGCGTGGTGGAACAGACGGGCACACTCACGCTTCAAGCAATGACACCAACGCTGCCAATGCCCGCCGAAGAGGAACTGAACAAGATGTTTCTTGAACTCGTTGATGAGCTAGATCTCACGCAGGCAAATCGTCAAGCGGTTCTTGCATTGCCTGCTAACAAAAAATGGCAGATCTATTGTTCGCGCAAAGGTAATGGTACCCTTGATAACGGTGGACTCAGAACAACAGATCTCAGTGGTGATCCTGAGGATTACATTAATCGAGTCAAGTCTATTAATAGCGTAAGTTGTAATTGCATATTTTTCGGTCAATGTTCCAATTTTGATTAGCTTGCAGTATAATTATATTACTCTCTTTGCAGAACCAAAGTACAGAGGATGTGGAAGAAATTGCAAATCAAGTGCGACACGCAGAAGCTTTAAAAACTGCACTTCGAACACAACCACACAGTTTTGTCATAAGGTTTATAGAATTGGATGGTTTGAATACACTTTTACAAGTTCTGGAAACTATGGACGTCGAAGCAGCCAACAGCAATTTGCACACAAGTGTTATTGGTTGTCTGAAATCACTAATGAACAACTCGGTAAGTTTACACTTATAAGAGTCTACGTCTTTCAATTTAACTGAACTTTTGATAACTAAAATATTTTAAATTTTATAGAACGGTCGGGCACACGTACTAGCTCACCCAACAGCGATCAACACAATATCACAGTCATTAGCCACAGAAAACATCAAAACGAAAATCGCTGTTCTGGAGATCCTCGGCGCCGTGTGCCTCGTTCCAGGTGGTCATCGCAAAGTCCTAGAAGCCATGTTACATTTCCAGAAATATTACTCGGAACGCACACGTTTTCAATCAATCATCAATGATCTCGACAAAAACTTTGGTATTTACAAAGACAACCTTTCACTGAAGACTGCCATCATGTCATTCATCAACGCAGTACTCAATTATGGACCTGGACAAGTGACCCTCGAATTCAGGTTGCATCTTAGGTACGAGTTACTGATGTTAGGAATACAACCAATCATCGATAAGTTGAGGAAGTACGAAAACGAAACGCTAGATCGACATTTAGATTTTTTTGAGATGGTACGAAATGAAGATGAAAAGGAACTGGCGAGAAAATTTGAGAAGGAACACGTGGATACAAAAAGTGCAACGGCTATGTTTGATCTATTGAGGCGAAAACTTGGCCATACAGCTGCGTATCCACATTTACTAAGTTTACTTGAGCATTGCTTATTACTGCCATGTAAGTTGTATATTTGAAAGTGTAATATCTTATGTATGGTGAATATTTTAACATATTATCAATTGCTTTATAGTGGACTATGGCTCATATCCTCAGCACTGGTTACTTTTCGACCGAATCGTCCAACAAATAGTATTACAGTCGGAAGGAAACAATGCCACAGTTACGAGAAATCCTGACGTTGCCCCGATCCAAATCAATGTCAAGGAGATTGTGCATCTGTTGGCTAAGGAAGAGGAACTCGTTGCCGCACGAAAAAAAGCTGAAGAATTAGAAAAGGAAAATTCAGATATGTCATCAAGACTGGCAAAAAAGGAGCAAGAATTGGATCTGCAGACACAAGAGAAAGAAGATATCGAAGCAAGTTTAGCACGAGTAAAGGAGCGTTTGGAAAAAGAGACATCTCTACATATAGAAACGAAACAGAGAATCTCTGAGTTGCAGGATAATATTGAGACGTTATCACGGCAAGTAAACAATGAAAAATTGGAAAGAAAACGACTTGAACAGTTAGTAGCATCGGGGAATTTGCCTGATGATGCGAAAGCTACTATTAAAATTGTTGAAGATGAGGTTATGGAGAAGGTTGAAGCTAAACCGGTTCCACCACCTCCACCTCCTCCGCCACTCGCTCCTCCGCCACCACCTTTACTTATGCCTGCAGCTCCACCACCGATGAAAGTGGGTAAAATTTATTTTCTACCGCTAGATTAACGTGAAGAATCGTGACAATACCATTAATTCCTATTCGGTTTATTTTTTAGGTGGAAATGCAAAAGGACGTTCCTCGATCCAGCAATCCCCTCAAATCTTTTAACTGGTCGAAAATTCCAGAACAAAAATTACAAGGCACAATATGGTCAGAATTAGATGAGTCAAAATGCTACGGTGTCATAGACTTGGATACTATCGATAGAGTATTCTGTGCCTTCCAAAAGAATGGGGTACCTACTGAAGGATCAATCGAAGATCTGCGTAATCTTGGCAAGAATAAGAAAACAATGTCAGTGATCGATTCGAGAAGAGCACAGAATTGCACTATTCTTTTGTCGAAATTAAAAATGACAGACAGCGAAATCACGAGAGCGATTTTATCTATGGACCAGCAAAATATATTGCACATTGATATGGTCGAGCAATTGCTGAAATATATTCCTTCGCCCGAGGAAGCTGCCTCGCTAGACATACATCAGAAAGATCTTCAGAGCAGAGCAGATTGTTTCTTACACCAAATATCCAAGTGAGTATTGTTCATATAAAATCAAAGACAAGTTTGTCTCTTTGAAAACGATTTTGGAGATCTACTTCAAAAGTAACCCCGAACGAAAGACGAAATTTAAGTTTTGTTCACATCGCGAAAGCCGACTTACTCAAACACACGCATTATATACACTTCCGCATACATTCCCAAGGTAAAATGCCTCAAGGCTTAAGATCAATTTAAAACACACACAAACACGCACACACAATCCGTTAAACGAACCCCCCATGACACGAGTCCGTTACTCATATCATACACGCCCTTGGTATAATACCGCAATTAATATGCTGTACGTCAACCGTTTTTTTTTTTGTATTTTAACAGAGTTCCGCACTACGAGCAACGTCTGCGCTCGTTGCACTACAAGAAGAAGTTCGCGGCGGTCATTGCTGAACTGACACCGCGAATGCGCGCAGTGCATGAGGCTTCACGTGAGGTCGCACGATCACGCAAACTACGCAAGATCCTTGAGTTAGTCCTTGCTCTTGGCAACTATGTCAATCGCAATAATGGCAGGGGTAATGCTTTCGGTTTCCGATTAGCTTCGCTTAATAGACTCGTCGATACCAAATCATCGTGTGCTAAGGGCACTACTCTGCTCCATTATTTGGTGCAGTTGCTCGACGCGAGGTTCAAGGATGTACTTGACCTTGAAGAGGATATGCCACATGTGAGAACTGCTGCTAAAGTTAGTATGATTGATGTGCAGAAGGAGATGGCTAATTTGAAGAATGGGCTGCAGGATGTGCAAAGAGAAATCGGTTAGTTTTGCATCCATACGACAGTCATATAGTTAAAATAATCATAAAATCATAAGAAATATGTAATTCACATTAAGCAAGCTAAAAATAGTAGCAATATTAAAGAAAATAAAATAGAAAACATATTTTTTTTAATACATGGAATAATGAAATTTATAACTATGAATACTTAGTAAATTAAAAATAACAGAATGAAAAATTAATTATGCTTTCTCAAAAATTGATTTGGTGAAACTAAAGAAACAAATTATATATTTACAGAATTTCATCGAGGTCAAGTCCAGGTGCTTCAGGGTGATATGTTCTTACCAGCCATGCGGGATTTTCAAGCTCAAGCTACATGCAGACTGGGAGAAGCTGACGATCTCTTCCAAGACATGAAGGCTAGAGTAAATATCACCAATTACATATGCAAATAGTTTAGTTGCTTACGAAAGAGCATGATATTAATGAATACTCTTCATTTGTTAGTTTGACAGAGCTATTTGCCTTTTCGGTGAGGACTCTGCGGGTATCCAGCCTGACGAGTTCTTCGGTATCTTTGAGAATTTCCTTCAGGCGATATCAGAGGCCAGACAAGATGTCGAGAATATGAGAAGGAAAGTCGAGGAAGAGGAGCGACGAGCCAAACAGGAACAGGAAGTGAGTGTAGTAAAACATTGATTGCCTTTCCAATTATAAGCTCGCAATTCAATTAAAGTAAAAATATGGATGCTTATAAAAATTGCTAGAAAAACATCGTATTCACGTAGAATTCGAACAATTTCATGTTTATTCATTATAATTTTTTTCTGGCTCATTGAATTTTACATCTACCTAACTTTAATGTTTATATAACTATAAAATTTTAACTATAAAATTTCACTGACCAATAGACAGAACGACAAATTTTTTGTTAGTTAGTAAATAATCACATACCATAAATCAAATATTATTCAAATAAAATTCAATTCAAGATATATTTGCTTTTTCAATTATATTAAGTAATAAACAATGTCTAATAATACAACATACATCATTTCAGTTGAAAAAACGCACAATGGAGAGAAAAAATTCACGTGAAGGAATTCTTAACAGTATCACTATAAATAAAAAAAATGAAACGAATGGTCAGAATGGTCATGTTGATAACAAAGGAGAGTTCGACGATTTGATCTCAGCATTGCGGACAGGTGACGTTTTCGGCGAAGACATTGCGAAATTCAAACGGTCTAAGAGACGTCCAGTGACTCCTAGTGGTAGCGCCGTCAATCCAGAATCACGAAGGCATAGTGCACATCGCGAAGACTCGCGCGAGAGACACTGAATATTTTCTTAACAATCACCTGTCGTTGTAATATCGATTTTACGTTTGTTAATACATCGATCGCATCGTCAAGGAGCAGTTATTTCTTTAGATACACATTCCGGTGGCTATATGTTTGTATAGCAACGAAATATAATTACCATTTAAAAATCAAGATGATTTAGTCGGCAAGTAATCTACAGCCATATACAAAGTGATTTGGAACATATGAAATAATGACTGTTCAATTCAAAGAAATTATTAGAATACACATTTTTTTATATAACTTTACAAATGAAATATTGTAGAGAGCATTTTATGAACATTCATGCAAAGTTATTGAATTATTGATTTTCAAATTATCGTTTAGTTTTTTCGATAACGTGAATTGATCAACTTTTTATCATTGAAAATACATAACATTTGCGGTGGCGAAAATCTACATCCTTTTTATTGTGACATGAAGCTTTTTTGTGTGCCAACAGTTATAATGATTTAATAACGAGATAGTATTATAAAGGTGCACTTATTCACTGGCAGTGTAAATAGATTTTTTGTTTTTATTTCCAGTGTTGATAGAAGATTATGCTTTACTGTAGTTATAATTTAGTGACGCTATTGTACAATTTTTTGAAATCGCCAAACGTTACAAATGCTTGATTTTTCCTTTGTTTTTATATGAAGTTTAGTTATTTTATTATTTTTAGTTTGATTTTTTCTTTGGTTGTGATATGAACAGCCAAATCCAAAATAACAATATTTATAATCAAAGCTTTTTATTAAATTAAATGGTATGAATTTTTTATGTACCTAAATTCATAAATTGCAAAAACTCTGTTGTACGTGATAAACTTTCATTGTAAATATAGTCATTATGTTATATGTATTATACACATATATTTTATTATAGCCGTTAATCGACATTTTAAAGAAAAGTTGTCTTTGAATCCGATATCGAAATCATCTATTTTACACCATTTGTACCAACATTATATTAATTTGTCATCGACAAAAAAAAAAGATCTGTTTATTTATTTGTAAGATAAATTATACTGGTGCATAATATGTCTATAAAATATTAGACTGTCGCGGTGAACATTTTGTATACAAAATTATCCGATATGACGTGAATCTTGACAGTAGTAAATGAATCGTTTAGTGTGCGACTCTTGTATCAATTTTCTTACAAAAGTTTTGAAATAAGAATATAAAATAACATTCTGAAAGGACATAAAAATACTACATGTTAAACGATTAAGCATCGATGAATACCCGTTAAAACGAATATAGTCAATATAAAAAATGTATTATCAAAATATATAGATAGATGATACATCTTCACAAAATCATACATTGTGTTATAAATGGATTAGAGAAACTTATTGAATGGTTAAAATAATAGTAGTATATATATAAACTGTACTAATTTTCAGAAAACATTAACACATCGAATTAAACATTTTAAAGAATTTACGAAATTTGTGAAAATTTATACAAAAAGAAGTAAAAGATTTTGCAAAATGATAGGAATGGAAACTGGACCAAATTAATTTACAAATAAAATTTTATTAGAATCAAAAACTGTAGATCGGTATATCGTTGTGAACGTATGGTATGTTAGAAATGTAAAAAAGAAGAAGCCGTTGTATGCAGTTTATCTGCATTTTAGTGTAGAAGAAAGGTGTTTATAGGCCTACGTATACAATTAGTTAATAATATTGCCTAGAAATACCACGAATTTGAATCATATAAGGATGGAAACGATTATTTTGGTTATAGAGAAGAAATAAACTACGTAACAGTATAAAATTTTGAACCGTGATTTGTAGAAAAATGAAATGTGTAGAGAAAAGAAAACACAACCTCGAGTGAACTATCTTCTTAATAGAAGTTAATGTTTTATACAAGCTTTTTGTATTTTTGTAAATATGCATTTTATATACATACATATAAACTTCACTAGTATAAAAATAAACAAAGGCTTCATATCTAATTAATATATTGATTCAACATTCTTATAAAACATGAAACAGAATACAGCATTGTATTGAGATACACACACACACACACACACACACACACACACACACACACACACACACACACACATGTACATATATATATATATACTCGTGTCTTAAATGATTTTCAATAATTTCGTTTCCTTTTATCTACTCATAATTGATCGATAATGCCAGATAATAACATAAGATCCTTTCCAAAGTTGTAAGTACTTAAAAGCGTAAATTTAAAGCTTTCAAAAAATATACAATATAAATATTTGATTCAATCACAAGAATGTCGATAAAGTAGAATTCACCGTTGTTCAGACATGGTAATATGACCGACTCAGCTGTTCTACCATTAGATGTTACAAATGATGAAATTAGAAAAAAATATATATATTGAAATATTGAGCAATATAAGACCACATTGCTGTTTTGTTTTAGATATTTAGTTTTTGGAAATAAATTAATAAAAAGATTATCGGATAAATGAGTAAATTAAAGAATAAAGAACCAGCCACAAATTTCATCTCGTTTCGTTTAAATATGATTAACGTTCACGAATTTCAAATTAATTTTTTCTTTTTCTTAACCAATTTATAATTATAGTATAAAAAGTGGAAGAAAAATATTTAATGAATTACATAGGGCAAATAAATGTAGAAATAGGAAGAATTTTTTTCAGAAATTTTATTATTTACGTACACTACCCGACTACCAAGCATTTAGTTCATCACATGCCTTCGGACACAAATAAGAAGTTATATGAACGAACGCTGTCCGTACAATAGCTGCATTTATCTGAGTCACATTTTCTGTCAGCACACAGGCTATTTTTTCTTTACAAATGACAATGAATGCATGTCTGGTTGACTGAATTTATGCATGTATCATCATTATCATTAGTTTAGTCATTTAATTTTTTGTGTCTTTTTTATTTTTTCATTTGATGAGCTCATTTTGAATATTGGATATAACTTTATCCCGAATTATTCGTAACTCGTAATTAAAATGTATGTAATCTAAAAGTATAATCGCATCGAAGCGCTCGACTTTTCGTTTACAACGACGAAAACAGTCTTCGTTTTCCTTACATTTCTATATAAATGTGTAACATAAAATGGCTGAAATAAATTATATTTATCAATTGATATCAACACAAAACAGCATTAGTAATTGGCAAAAATTTTCTCGTTTACCACAGTTCAAGGAATTGAACTAAATAATCTTCAATAATTTATTATAATTGAATCAAAATAATATTGCGAGATCACTTTATAATAAAATTTATACTTTCACGTGATTTTACATAAAGATTTGCAATGAAACTGTATTTATATTTCTATCTAGAAATCATATTTAAGTACTTAGATCGAGTTTTTTATGCAAGTAAACGTATTTTGATTTAATATAAATATTTCGCCAAGTCTAATAAAATATTCTTCCATTCAATAAAATATGTTAAAGCCTAATAAAAAATAAAATAATAATATGAACATCACAATGACGTAATATACGTAATACATGAAAAGTGAAAAATAAATGTGTGTGTGCGTGTGTGTGTGTGTGTGTGTGCGCGCGTACATATATATAACGATCGCATTCGCACGAGATGCAAAAAGATCGATCACTCCGAAGCGACGCGACCAAATATTTCTTTATCTTTATTTGTATAGACGTATTTAAATATTTATATACATGATGAATAATCGAGACGAAAATCTCAATTCATCGCTTGATTGCTTGATAATGAAATAGAAAATGTGAAATGAATACGACAGAGCTGAAAGAGTCGTGAGTTGAAGAGAAACGCGACTGGTTGAACCCACAATACTCTGATTAATAAAAAGTACAGTGCTTAATAAGTTACGATATATTGCACATTTAACAACAGTTAAGTTTTCCTTGTCTCTTGAGTACTCGAGTATAGGAAGATTTCTTTTTGTTTTTTGTGTCAAGAGTCAGCCTCATTACTTAATATTATTTAATTTATATTTCGTTTATTAATTCTATACTCTCATATCCCTATTTCATTCACTCTCACATTTTCGCAGTATTGTATAAATTTATATGTCTTAGTTGATTCATATAGAATATTCACTCCTACTTGTGTCTGTACACTTTATTCATTAAAAAAAAGTCGAGTATAATCCTTTTTCTCTTTCTTTTATTACAAAAATAGTTCAAAAATCGAACAACTATTTTATATCTACACTTTAAAAAATGTACAAGATCGATTTCAAGTACAATGTTGACTGTGAAATAATTTTTCTTTTAATATTTTCCGGTTGAAATGATACTGGACACGTAGAGCTATATGTATATAATTATTTTTCATCCCTTACTGTTCTCGCGAATAGCAATATTACTTGAATGAAATTCTATGACTTGGTATTTTTTTATGAATTACAAACTAATTTTGTCATTAGATAAAAAAACTACGATGAAAGTTTATCATCAAACTGATCTTGCTCAAATAGTTTCACATCAATGTAAGGTACCGCAACATAAGACAGAATAAGTCTAAGCTGAACACCTCTATAGCAGCTCAAGGGCGAGTTAGGTGCAGCTTATAACCGGTATGTGGAGTATTATACAAATACATAATATAGAAACAAAATTTTTTGTATGACAGAATAAAATTGAAAATGTTTTGTTCTTTCTTTATAAAGACTGAAACCAGCAGTTGCGACGCATTTAAAAATAAATCATTATTGATATTTATTTTGAGGCGTAGATTATCAAAAATTTCTTTTAAAGCAGAAAACGACATTTGTGAAAACTAATATCATGACATATTAAATAAAAATATTTCGCTATGTATCTGTTGACCTAACACAGTATTTACGTAGTTCGATTTCAGCGTTATATTTTCATTATCTATTAAATTGGCAAACCAGAGTGCTATTTCTTCATAGATAATGCAAGATTCACAGTAATACAGTGTAATCGCGTTACTCTGTGCTATATTGAAGCCGATGAAACAGCGTTTCTTAAAATAGAGCCATTAGCGTCGGGAGAAATTGAGCGCGGACCGCTCGTTGAGAAACGCTTTTGCGGCTCAATTGTCTTTGATTAACTGGTGTAAATATGAATTTATGCGCTCTCTTTCGTTCGTATTTGAGTGAAGAAAAATCGAGTACTCTGAGAAAAGCACGGAGCACAGCTTTGTACATGCGGACTGGATGCTCAAGGGAGAGGATATTTTTGTAGACGACTCAGAAATTATTATCTTAATCATTTTTTTCTAATTTAGTTTCGGATTTTGAAATACAAAAGATCTCATTGTATTTTTTTTCAAGATGAGTGCTTATTCGTTGCTAGGTTTTTTTAAATAAAAACGGAGAATAAACAAATTGGCCACGCTATCCTTCACGTTCTGTTTCAGGTGCTACATGCTGTTGTAATATAACTAAATTGTCGTTGTTTAATAGACCATAACTCTCACTTATTGTACTTGTTTACATGACAATTTGACGTACAGCTGATTTTTGTGATTTTTCACACCGTGTATTTGATGTGATAGTTAAGAATCAAGATATAAAAAGTTTCAAGCAACTAAAACTTGACTTGTGGAAAACTAGAACTTCAAAAAGAGTTATAATTTTATCTTGCTACTCTCATTTCTACTTCCGTGACAGAGACATAATTCATGAACCAATCCTGGATTTAATTTAAAAGTGGCTATTATCAATTTAATATACTAATAAAGAATATATCATTTTGCAATAACGGACTTAAATCCGCGTAAATAAATATCATCCATTAAAATAATATTATAAATTTAAGTATCGATGGCTGATCATGAGAGATAGATTAGTTTTCAAAGTATGCAAAAAGTTGTAATAATTTTAAATGAGTAACGGTTTGCTAGGCTACCGGAGCATCAATTGTTCATATTATCGATTTTTTGAATGAATGTATTCATTAATATTTTCACTATTCTCTATTTTTCAAATAAGATAGACTACATACAACGAAACTATAAACAAACTATACGCCTACTATCCAAAGCAATTGACTTTATAATTAAATCGTTCCTATTCCCAAAACCACAAAAATACATCGCGAGCTCTTAGTTTCCTCCGGCATTTCTGTCGTCGCTACCTACCCGAAAGAGGGGGCGGGGGAGATAGAAAGAGAGAGAGAGAGAGAGAGAGAGAGAGAGAGAGAGAGAGAAAATTCTAAAAACAACCATAGGCGCGAATCTTCGTTAACCTGATGACAATTATGTGTCGTCTGACTATATGCCATGCGATAGTCGGGTCTTGGTGCGCGCGAGTTATTAATAAGCAGAAGCGCGAGTTTTCGAGTGGCGCATGGTAGCGGCAGCTAGCAGCAACTTCCTCAAACCGAGAGTCTTATCGTTCCGTTTCCTTTGAGCGAGTATCGTTGGGTTTTACGGTTAAGCGGACATTTTGCTCTGGCGCACCGCTCGTTTCGTTGATGGGCTTTCTAACGGCTGGAAATTTATACCGCGTATACCTTTTCATTTTACGATCTGCCTCCTTATGCAACAAGGCAACTTGCACAGCTTGAAGCCAAATATTTTGCCGCGCGTGCCTTTTGAAAAGCTCTTGATAATTCAATAGAAGAGTTCAGCTGGATGTTGAACTCTACCGAATAGAAATGAATCTCATAATAATTGCTGTCATAGAGCAAGACAGCGCCCAACTTTCGATCTAATTTTACAGTGAAATGTATGAATGAATAATTGAGAAAATTACTTGTGAACGTACTACGCGAGACACAACGAAATTTTCTATTTCTTTTATTTTTACAAAGCACTTCACATGATTCTTCAGTAAAGACGTCGCCAAAAACAAAAAAAAATACTCCAAACAAATCCTCAGCTTTTACGCTTTTGATTGCACATCTGAAAGAAATGTCGAGGAAAGCGTGAAAAAAAGAGTCTCTCACGATCACTTTCTTTAAAAAGCCAAACGCGGGCTCTTTAAAAATCACCGACGAGATGAAAGAGGAAAGAAGAGGCTGAAGCCGAGCACCTTCGATCATCGTTCGTTCAATGCGTAACGGCCGCGCGGCATCTTGCTCAGCGTAAAAAGGGCGTATCCGCTAACTTTAGACTTTGGCGTTGCTTGCCAAGCGCCCAATGACGATTCGCGCTGGTCTGCTTTTGAACTCGCGGGACTCCAGCTGCCGCCGCTCGCTACAAGCGAAAATGACAAGTCTATATTCGAGGAGAGCCGGCTTGTTTCGGAAAAGAGGGTCTTGTCGCGATTTATGGGAAGACGCTCGCGCGCGAAACGGGATCCGCTTGCGTCGTAACCCCGATCAGATCCGGGAAAAGCTGCAGAGCTTCACACGGATATATTAAGGGTGTGCACGATCATGGCCATGCGGCGATCTGCTTTAGAACTCACGTCGTTAAATTTGCTTCTAAGATTTACAGTACGCCACAATACTTTGACGAACCAACATTCTCTGATTTACAAACGCGCACTCGTAAAGAGATATTTTAAAGAGCGCAAAGGGCAGTTTCCATTCGCCGTATATTACGAAAAAAAAAAGTTGGTCGGCGATTCGATTCGAGCGGGGAGTGCTGCTGAGTGCTGAGAAATTTCTGCCAGCAAAATGTCGTAGCGAAGAATATAAAATCGCCTCTAAAAAGTCAAAACTACGCGTACGGATTTGAAGATTTGTCGTGCAAACGTCGGAACTCGCTCCACTGAAATTCAATCCAGTTAAAAAATACACGTTCAACAATCGTGCGTCAACTATACGTGCAAAGTCGTATACACTATGAGCCATATCGCATAAATTACAACCAGCCTGTCACGTCGATCCGGTCAGTTTCCGGTCAAAGCACGCGCGCACTCTTTTTTTTTTCCTTTCTTTTTCATTTCAATTGTCGCGTGCTCTTCCGTCGCTCGAGAAGGACAAAAAAGTCGTCGCAGACGCTCTGGAAATAGACGAGACTGTGCTGCAGTCGCTTTTTCTTCCACTTCTCGACGAAACCACTTTCTTTTTGTTTTTTTTCCGCGGTTTTCCGTGTCAGTGTACGGAAGTATACACAGGCACAACGAGACTCGATGAAAATGCCTGAACTTTTATTTATAGGGGCGAATCAACAAAGATACGTGTTAGCTGCTGATTGTAGGGTGTGAAAGGAATTCGGAATTTAGAGTAGAACGGCGCTGCTGCCTACTGGGTCAGTGTTTGTCAATCATCTACTCACGGTAGATCTGGATGTTGCTTGGAGCGATGCGAGCTTTAAAGCAAACATGCACCAAGAAGAAAGAGATGTTTGGGAATTGTAAGAACAATAATAATCTGATATTACCGACTGACAATGTTGCAATGCTGTTAGACTAATAGATGAAATATATAATCGAATCTAAGACAGTTTAAAATTTTTCAATGTTAATTTTCTCTTATAAATTGATATTTTTCCACGATAATACAATATGGTAAAGCTGCTCCTACATTTTTTATACTCGCGAATTACAATTTTTCTCGCAGTTGAAAATAAAAGAAAAAGGTCCAAAGGGTTTGAAAGAAATTACTCGAGACATAGCAGGATGTTGTAAACACTTTTCGCCAAAATTACTTACGAATATGGCCATTTTCAACGTTCAGGTTAAAAGAAAAAGCCTCAGCAAAAATGTTTGGCGTCCAATTTACGAGCAGACTGGAATTTCAAATAGCCGTAAATTTCTCAACTAGACCGTGATATGCACTACAAGCGCAAACATTGCCTGTCAAAATATTTAGAGATTGGCATTCATCAACCGCTAATTCTTTTGTGCATGGAGATAATATTGTCGGAAAGGCTTTTCATTGGTACATAATTTAGAATATCATTTAATTGCTGCATCGGTGAAGTTTAGTAAATGTGTGAGATGCATTTTTGACTTAAATAGCAGAAAGGAAACGATAAATTATAGAAATGCATTTTTCAGACGCTTGAATGTAAAAATTTTAATTTGAAAATTTTAGTTTGAAAGATGATGAATTTGGCAATTTGATAAAGCTCCAGTACGCATATAAACCAACTTTAAAAATGTTGTAGATTGTTTCAGAAAATTCGTGATCTTTCATCAACCCATTGTAGAAAAAGCTCATAAACGGTTTCTATTCCGAAATTACATAATTTGTTAATATTACTGCTATTTTGTTATTAATTGTAGAAAATGTATCAGTTAACGACGAAATTGTTCTTTATTATTCAAACAAACATCATTCAACCATCAGTCCATTCAAAACCACTCGATCAAATTTCCAACCAATTCAGCCAATTCCTGAAAAGTCATGAAAGAAAACTCCCTCGTATTATCTACCAATGAAGGAAATCGACTGATTGATCGTCAACATACGCAGAGTCGGGAGCTCGGAGAGTAGCGACGTCGACGACGGTCAACGTTTTCTCCGCATGCACGCAAGTGCACCGTAGGCAGGCGCTGGGTCTTTTTTTAAAAATAGCCCCTCCTCGCTCCCCCGCGAGTTATTTCGGTTGAAGCACGCCCGATGACTTTAAAGCTAAGACCCTTCGGTTTATGTACTCGGTTTTCTCGCTAATTCATCCAGGTTTTTTTCCTGCACTGCATTATCCTCTCGTTTAGTCTATCGTCCAAACGGTTTACCCCTTTTCTGGCTTTCTTGACGCATTTCGGAATTTATCTTTCCGTACTTGGCGATTATACTTTGTTTCATTGAAGAAGTTTTCGGAAAAACTTTCGCTACCCTCTCTAATTACTTGTTTAATAAGCTAAGCTTAGATTCGGCTTTGAGATGGATGATTTATTTCAAGCTTATGATGGCTATTGTTTGAAAAGCAATTAAGAGTAAGTTCTCTGGACGATAGAATAAATCTATTTCTCGTCATTGGTTGACGTGCACAATGGCAGCGTATTCAATAAATGGTGAAAGTTAGCAATCCAAAAACAATGAATTCTATATTACATTTGATAAATATCCTATATATATATATATATATATATATATATATATATATATATATATATATATATATATATACGAAACGAACAACGTTTTGAAAATCACGAAAATGCCTCGTGCATCCCACATAAAGAAAAATGAGCTACAATTAATTTGTCCTCGAATAATTTTGGAGAAGCCATCAGTCGTTCTGCTGTTGTCACTCGGATTTATTTCAATCGAAACTACAAGCCACTCGGACCAGCAAATTTCGACATCCGTAAACCAGCATGAACGAGAACGAAGATTCATCTTCCCGTAGCAGCGATCGTGAAGGCTCCATGCAAATCGGAATCGAAACCGAAGAAAAGCAATCGGTCGATCCGTAAAAGCATTAAAATCTTACATCTCCAAATAAATACGTCGCTGAACTTTCCAATCAGTCCAGGCGCCCTGTGGCGCGCGTTTCTCACACTTTATCCCTCGCGTGTGCTGTTTCGCTCCTTTTTCTTTTTTTTTTTACTCTCTTTCTGGCTTTCTCCGTTCCTCTCGCGTGTGTGCGCGCACGTGTTTATCTCTTTTTTCCTCGAGAGTTGCCTTCCCTCCTTCTTCATTCTCTCCTGCGAGAGAGCAAGATACAAGTGCCGTGGAGCTTGCCAGTTTCATCCGGTCGCCCGTCCGCGACGGATCGAACGACGAACGACCAAAGTTTATAATTAAATTTATAAATATATATATATTTTTTTTCGACATTGTAATGTTGCCGGCTACTATTAGGTAACTGCGTGTGCGCTAGCGCTATTCGGCGAGCTTTTTCTTACATCGCGTCGTAAAGCCGTTATGAGGCATTCAATTATACGACGATTGACTTCGTATTCTTCAGTGCCAGTCAGTTGCAGTATGTTTATTTTCGCGCGAGTGTGCTGTGACTTGGTGCACGGGAATTTTTGCGTCGATTTATTTTCAGTATGCAATGTGTCTGCACGCGAATGCCAACCGAGTAGGATTTTATAGTTTATAATTAGGAGGAGCTTGAAGAGTCGCGCAGTTGATTAATGCGTGGAATTAAAAATTAAAAATTAGTCCGCTGGATAAAGTCGGCTTTTCTAAAAATGAAATGAAATTTTCGTACTCCAATTGATATTTTAAGAAGCCGCGTGCTTTTTCTTGAGCGCCCGAGAACCGAGAGCTTTATTACTACCTCGTTTTTCTTACACTTCGTTTTTAGTGCTTTTACTTGTCATTGAATTTTAAGCTTATTGCGATTCCAGTTTTTATTTCTGCTTTATTTCATTTTCTATTTCATATGCAATTTCGTTGGACTCCAAAACTAACGATGCCGAATTTCGCGTAGCAAATTTTCATGGAGAAAGCTCGTAATTGTATATTTCAAACTAAAAATCATTGAATTCTAAATTGCAACTCTTGATCAACTTTCAGAATACTTATTTCACATCAAAGCCGAAGCAAGGTATAACGTGACAAATCCCGAAAACTCCCGAAGCCGATTTTGACGATAGCACAATCAACCGCGGAAGCTTATCTACGATAAGCTTTAGCGATTTTTCAATGGCGTGAACGAAGAGAAACATAAATTAAAGAGATAGAGTAAAATTTTGAAAAACATGGCGAAGATGTTTAGTTCGCTGAGACTGGGAACGTTAAGGCACAAGAAACCGAGGCCTGGAAGTGTAGCTACAACGGCGAGTTCGGATTCGACGAGGAATGAAGATACGAACGCGACTGGTGCTGCTAATGTACTCAATGGGAATCATCATCAAAGTCCATACTTTGCAACAAATTTTATGACTTTAGATGAAGTCTCGGAAGTCGGATGTCAACCAACGAGTGTTACCTCCAAAGTGGCACAGGTGATTGGATTTTTAATGTAATAATCATTATTATATAATTCTATTGTCAAATCCTTCTGATTAATTGTACCGACACATTTCAAATTAATCCGAAATTATTAGATATTGATTTTTTTGTTATTTTTGAAGGAGTATTACTATTTTTCAGACTCAATTTTTATAATATAGCTAAAATTGAACAAATTATGAATGATGGGTATCTTATGTGATATGTATTTCTATGTCAATATCTGCTAGAGGCATGGGAATAAAATGCTAAAAGTTTCAAACCACAAATCAAAAACTTGTTTTAGTTAATAATACAAGACTTGTACAAAAAATCTATATAAATAATTTTAATCGCACCTGAGCGTAAATTAAATCAACGCGTAAGTCAAATCATCAATGTGTCAAATCAGATTAAAAAGTATTTTGATCATTTTTCGTGTATTGAACAGTTGCGATAATAGGTATTCAATTTCTATTTTGTCAAATTGAAATTCTAAAAATCGTCATTTTAAGATACCAAAGATTTTGTTACAATTTATGATTTTAATTTATTCACTAGAATAAAACTAAAACCGTAAAACTGTAATTATGAGTTTTCGATGCAGCGAATGCATGTTGAGTATATAGGTGTATATTATAAAGCCATCCCAAGAGCAAACCGACAAAACTTGGCCATTAGCGAGTTTTTTAACGTTCGTTGTATGATTTTGGAGCTGTGTACATAAATTTTGTTCGAAGCTCCTTTAAGTTTGTTTGACTCTAAGTACGTGAACAAATGCAAAATTATAAAGAGAATAGATTAATTATTCATATACCATTATTGAAAGTGATCTTATATATTGAGCTAGCTCGAATGTATTTAGTTTCGTTACGCGCTCGGTACCTTTCTGTGACCGATTAATGGTCAATCAATTCACTCCGTGCATAGTTAACTAACAAGGTTGCTTTTTGGGAACTTCTGGACGGCAATTCTATGTTAACAATCTAAAAAAAGTGCGTATGGAACGAATAGAGCAGTTGTTTGTCAAACAGTTTTTTTCCGTTGAACACAAATCTACAATTCTATAATCGGAGAAATTAGAAGAAATAGTATGCTACGCATCAAGACTAAAACATGGATTATTATATTCCAATGTCCCGTCATTCGGCCGAGATGCGTACTCTATTTTTCATCATATTCCCACCTAAAATTAGTCACATCACGCTGATAATCCGGCGGGGAAGACTTCTCTGACATTGACAGTTTGGCGAGGCGAAGCCTAGAGCGCGTAACGCTCTGTTGGCGTTACCGACCAAGCATAAAAGTTTTTTTAGGTTTTTTCTTAAACAAATGATCTAGTCAACCTAAAACTGTTTTAGAATATCCATGATACATAAGCAAAAAGCCATAAAGAGCTATTATTTTTAAATTGTCTTGAAAATCGAGGAAAAATTAAAAAATGCGAGTAGAGTTTTAATTTTTCTCTTAATTTCTAAGACAATTTTAAAAAAAAGAGCTCTTTACGGCTCTTTGCTTAAGTAAAATGGATGTTTCGAAAGAGTTTTGAAAAAAAGTTATGCAGTATTCCATAGAGCATCGGCTACTTTGAAATGCACTTAGACACCGAAAAGCGTAAATTGTAATTGTTAATGAACTATTGAAGCTAATTCAATGTTGAAAATGAAAAGAGTAACTTATTTAAGCTGTGGTACGATCGTGAGAGCGCGAAGCGATTGACACTATTGCCTCGCTTGAATGCGATTTTTTCAATAAGCCGTGAGGAAAGTAGAACTCTGCCGCATGCTCGGCGAAGAAACGTGCGTTGAAATCCGCACTTTACGCAGGTTGTTTAGAAAAACATGGTAACACGTTCGGGAAAGAGATGTGGCTTCGCTCGGACATAAATCTCACACGCAACAAGAATCTGTTTTCCCGTAGTAGTTAGCTAATGTACTAATTAAAGAATTCCGTAGAATAGATTCGACGGAAAGAATGTCAAAGCTAGCATGTAATGGTTCGATATAAATAACAAAAGCATAAAATGTAAACGTAGAAAATATCGACGACGGAAAGAGACCCCACAAATAGACTAGCCATCGGGGCTTTCGGTTTATTTAGCGTGACTGTAGCACGCCTATAATTTCGAAACGTTACGAGGCACAACTATCTTGTAATCTCCTGATTATTCACTTTCAAAAGTATAATTCGCATAAAATTAAAAGCAATGATCGAATGAAAATCGATCACAGTGTTGAATTATTTCAAATTTGTTTGCAGGTCCGCGTGGAACGAGAAAACGGAAGTCTAGGAGTAACCCTCCGCGGTGGCGTAGCGCGAGCTTTAGTAGTGACAAGTGTGAAATCCGAAGGACCAGCGGCAAAAGAAGGTCGCGTACGGCCAGGCGATCGACTTCTCGCGGTCGACGAAGCAGAGCTGCGCGGGTTGACGTTGGCGGAGGCGCAGCGAGCTTTGCGGAGGAGCAGCGACGCGCCCGTCGCCTCGCTCACGATTGAATACGACGTCGCGAACATGGAGGACATACGAGCGGCTACTTCGGGCCCTCTGCTCGTTCAACTCGAACGCGCCGCTTCAGGTACTCCTCGCGGCTATGCAGCGCTGCTTTCGCCCCTGCAAATATTAATTGACTGGCGCACCTGCTTGCCCCAGGCGAATTAGGACTGACGGTACGCGATTCGCCGAGCGGCGTGTACATCGAAAGCTTACGCCCGGCGAGTACTGCCGATCGTTGCGGAGCTTTACAACCCGGCGATAGACTTCTTGCCGTCGACGACACAGCCATTCAAGATGCAGTGCAAGCTGCTAAATTATTGCGGAATAACTCGGATAATTGCCGCATTGCGAGGTAAATCACTGCTGATAAAACAGTTACTGCTTGTACTCATATGCGTTTGAGTTATGCTTGCTGCCTTTGATCGTAAATTCCAAGATTTTTTTAATGTGGTACTGATCAGAAATAAATGGCTTTAAACAAACACAAAAATCCACGCCCATAACCATTAATGAAAAAAAAACTAATTTTACAACGTTTTTTTAGATATTTTATACTGAAACTTAGTATGCAAGGGAGAATTATTTATATAGCTTTTCATCGATGAAAATATATACCGAAACAATTCTATACGCGTCAATGTCTAGTGAATATTTTTCAAATAATTGCATAAATACCATTCAAATTAAATTATTTATTAATCAACGTAGTTTGCAATATATTAATTTACAATATCTTTTAAGGCAGAGAAGTTACCCTTTCAATTAAAAAAATATCAATAAGTTTGTTTGCAATGACTGCCCTTTGCTAAAAACGTATGTTTTATTTATTAATTACTTAGCGTTGGATCAGCGGCATGAATGTCAGTACGAGTAGCATTAAATTTTTGCCTAACGACATGATAAGATGTGCATCTGCTCTTGTGAACATCGATATGCGTTATCATTTCAAAATTCGAAATTTCAAAGAGCGTATATTTTCGTCATTTTTATACCGACCATTCAATTTTAATTATTTTACCTACATTACACATGACCCTGGAGACATACTGAACGTATTATAAGGACAGTTAGTACTATATCGTCTACGAAATTATCCGTATTCAATATTAGCTTGCTAAATTGCTCTTAAAGTGGAATTTAATAAAAAAAAAAAACATAAAATATAACTTGCAAAAAATCATTCCCTCCAAAATTACAATGTTAATAAATCTTACGCTATGCAGCGCCGTAAGACTGCCGTATATCATGCAACCCTTTCACCACGAGGTCGCCCGCCATTGACTGCCACGTCAGCTTCAACGTCAGATTTGGTCACGTCAATCATTGCATTGCAATTCAACTGATGTAATGATAACGTATCTGTGTGCAAAAGGGCGTGCGTATATCGTATCGTGACACTGAGCAAAAAAAATCTTTCGATCTCTAAACGACAATATTTTTATGTCCAAAGTGACAGCTGTCAGCAAGAAAAAAGCGTTTTGAATAAAGCAAACAAAACGTTCAGTCATACATCTTGCGACTACACGTTTTTGGGGGGGTAGCTCTTATTCTACCATCCGTCTCTCTCTCTCTCTATGAATAACATTTTATGTACTGTATACACTTACGTACGCACTTGAATAAAGAAATTTTATGATTTATTAAAGAAAAGAAAATAAGTTTATTCCAAATTACGAATCAGGTTACCAGTATTTTTAAGCTCGTATTTCAACAAACTGACTAAATCAACTACATCGAAAAAAATTATTTGCCTGGCAACGCTTTTTGTTCATCTTCGTAACATTATTTATTAATTATTGATTATGCTAAATAATGCTTTTTTTCAAGAGACTTACATGATATAGTTTAAACTTGATTAAAACTTTTTTTGCAACCAAATTAATCTTTTCCTTAGGATTCTGCTGAGGTGACATTTATTTGCAAATTTATCAGTGTTTCGGTGCCCTTTTGTTATCGCCTAAAAGTTTAATTTTAAATAACTTTTAAATAACTAAATAACTATTGCATCCAACGTTTCCGCTGATTATATAGATAGTCACTTCAGGGAATTATAATTATTAAACAATAAAATTATTTAATAATACTATTTATGGTTATCAATATATTATTTAGAAATGCTATACATAAGAATTAACAATAACACTTTTAATAAAAAAAAGAAGAAACATTATTTTTGACTTCACAATGTTGATTTATAACACCCATAAAGCCCTCAATTTAGCGTGGAAGTATTTTTAAAATTAATTTAATAGTTTATTAATTGAATAAAAATATTTATATAAATAAACGTATAGACAATTTTCACTTTATATATCGTAAATTAAATAATATTAGGAAAAGCGTGTTGGTAATTAATTTGATAATTTATTTAACAACTACTTTATTAGTTTAGTTAACGTTTAATAATTGAGTATTTACTTTGCAAATTTTTTAATTAAAAATTGCATTTCGTGAAAATTACAATAGCTTATACTGATATAAACTCTCAAAATGAATGCTGAAATCTGATTTTTAAGGTGGTTTTATGGCTAGGTGCTTAACTTCGGGTAACCGCGCAATTAAAAAAATACTTTTTTGTTTTCTACTCGCTCGTTATAAAAAACTCATCGATGAATAGAAGCCAAAAAATTTGCAGGTACTTCTCATAGTATTTAGTTTGACATAGTCTATGTCGGAATTCGACATCTACTTTTGTTTTTCCACAAAAAATTACAACTTTGAATTTTCCAAAATTCGTAACTTTAATCAACTAAAGTGTTTCTTTGGCACAATGACTGTGCTTTCCGTATGAAAATTAATTCAGTACGAAAGGTGATTTGATAGGAAAAATTTATGAATTTTAAGACAGAATGATCAGGTTTTATTTCATGAATTGACAGAGGGTACAACTGAGAGCGTACAAGCTCGTCAAGGGTTCTCAGCTAACTGACTGTCGACTACTGCCTTAGTCGTCACTCTTATTCTTAAAAGCAATAAAAAAAGGGAAAGTGGAAAAATGAGACGAGTGTCGAACCAAAACATAGGCGATAGTCACGATAACGTGGTCGTGGCTCAGGTGCGCCGCTTATGCGCCATCGGGGTAACACATGTTAACCATGAGGAGACCATGAGAAACGCGTAAGCTAATAGAGTGGACTGTAGATTACAATGAGAGAAATCGACACCCTCTCAACGACTCAGCGAGGCACCGCCTTTCTTAGAATTACTTAAATTGAATACAATGAGTGAATCATAAATGAATGTCGGTAATACAATATAAATAAAATATAATTATATGCAAATAACGTCAGTTCAACTAAATTAAATTTAGAGTCTATGAAATTGTCCGATATAATAACCGTAAAACTACTCGATATCGTACATAAAGTCTGTTACAAATTTTCGAAAATAAAAAATGTGTTGATACTACATTGTTTGATAAGATTTTGAGAGTACGAGTATCAATTTATAGGTCTTAATATTCATTTGAAAAAATTCTAGACGTTATTTAGTGAATTGACATCTCGCCGCGATGACGTTTTTCAGCAGTTTTTAGCAACATTTCCGTTAATCCCCTTTCCCTTATAAAAGTCATGGCCGGATGCTGTGAAGCCAAAATAAATGCTAATTGATTGGCTCATGCAGTGCGTATGTTTCTATTTAAATCTAAACCTAATTTAACCTAATGTAATTTAAAAATATTTCATCAAAATTATGCTAATTTCTGTTTTCGTTTCAATATAAATATATAAAATCATTTTAATATCCACTCCGACCATCGTTATAAGCAGAAAATTTAAAAACCTATATAACTTTCTCCATTGATTGTATTCTCTGACAAAAGTTTTTAAAAAGTTTTAAAATTTTATATTGTGAAAACGTATTTCCTTTACAACATACAACAACTCGTATTATAGTCTGATCTATCACGTAGAATACGATGAAAGTGAACGAAACTGTTGTCATTATTCAACTTATATAAGATAAACACTTATAATATATTTAATCATGAAGTTCTATAAAAGTATTAAATTAAAATTGAAATTTGAGAGATTTGTAGATGATTGTTCTACATAGTCCAAATAAAACTTTGTTGATAACAATAACCCAATTATAAATTTATTCATCCCTTGCACAATTGTAAGTTCAGCGCTTCTATTCAAACAAAATACCTGATCCATATCACTAAACTTTAGCTGTAAAAATGAAAAGAAATGCAATTAGAAGGGTATATAATTGGAATATAATATTGTAGGCTACAAATACTACCAAGGCCACCAAGCGCTTCGACGCGTACAATAAAACGTCGCACTCAGCCACAAGCGCAGAAAAGCGCGAAAAACACACTGTACACAAAGGAAAGTCTCACGGTATTGTTACGACCGGACCATCGTGGATTGGGCATATCCCTGAAGCAAGCAGATGACCGTCTTAATTACGTCGTGGATATACTCGAGCCAGGGGGTCCGGCCGAGCGAAGCGGAGTCCTTTTACCTGGAGACCGAGTAATTGCTATCAATAGGCGGACTCTGAGAGATTTACAACCAGCCGAAGTGGCATTAATCCTGGAAGCGCCTCAGGTGAATAACATCTATTTTCTCCCTCGGACAGAGAAAGGGAGAGCTAATTTCCATTGTTTGAAATGTGCAGGTCGAATTGGTAGTGGAATACAAAGTAGGCGGTGCAGTGGTACCAGGTTCCGGCGTATTCACCGTTCGAGTGGCCCGGCCACTTGGCGGCCAGCCGGATCTCGGATTGACCGTCAACGAGGATCTGCTAATCACCGAGGTGCGTCGCGGCTCGCTGGCCTATCGCACGGGAAGCCTATCGGCGGGCGATCGGCTGCTCGCCATCGACTCGCAGAAGCTCGATCCGGGGGATCTGCGCCAGGCCGCGCAGCTGCTGCACAGGCCGGGCAGTTCCGTGGTCGCGCTGACAGTAAGGAAGCCCGACCTCGGCGCCGAGGCGAGGTAATTTGACTTTGGCGACAAGCGGAATTGCCCATAATAAATGGAAGCCCTTTGGCCGCGCAGCGCTCTGAGCTGCCGAGAGGCGAGCCTCGTCGCGGACGGGGCCGTGCAGTCGCAGTACCCGAGCGGGGTGCAATTGAGATCGGCGAGGGAAAGTTTGCCGAGCGTCGACAGTGCCGTGGACTCTTGGGGGGAGATCGCCGACGTCAGCGGCGCGGACATCATGAGGCTCTGGGAGACTGCGTCCATCGACAGCGGTCAGCTCGACCTGCCCATGCCGCCTTATCCGTACCCAAGGTAACGTCCGTTCGCGGATCGGCCCTTCGAGCGCTCTCGCATTGATCGCTTGTCCCCGGCGCGCAGCTCGATAGCCTCCACGTCGCCGCGGCCGGCCTGCAGCTGCAGTCCGCAGGACAGCCGACTCAGCCCGACCTCCAGCCAGCCGTCCCACTCGCACCATCCGCCCCCGCAGTCGCCGTCGCAGCAACAGATCCTTCACGTCTCCTTGCACAAGGACCCCGTGTACGAGGACTTCGGCTTCTCCGTGTCGGACGGCCTCTACGAGCGCGGCGTCTACATCAATCGCCTCAGACCTGGCGGCCCGTGCGACGGCGTGCTGCGACCCTACGACCGGATCTTGCGCGTCAACGAGGCCAGTACCGAGGACTGCGACTGCTGCCTCGCCGTGCCGCTCATCGCAGCCGCCGGCGCGAGATTGGACCTCACGATCGCCCGACCGCTCACGCCCACCGACAGCATCACCAAATTGTTTTGATACCCTACGACTGAAATTATTGTAAATACTGCACCTTACGCCCCGACGGAGACGTTTCTTGCAATAATCGCTACGCGCGCTTCCCTACGTTTATTTTTCTACGCTAGTGTTTATTTGTAGGACGCGCACACGTGTACAGAACGCTTTTTCGGCTGAGCATCATCTCTCGTATAATACTACACGTAATTCACATTATTTTGCCACAACACGCCACCTAGTTTCTATATATAGCTAATTTTTTCCGTATACGAAAGTTTGTAGATTTAGTAACCATCACGTGCCTCTAAATACTTTGTAACATATAGAATATTGTATAAATAAAAAACATTTTCATTTTTAGTCTTTGTTCCTTTTTTTTTTATCTTTTTCATATTTTTATTGTGATTTCGAAAATAGATCTAAGACAGTAAGCTTACGTTTGTCAAATATAAAAATGCATGATTAACATTTTGAACTTTGTAAAAAACAAAAAACCAGCAAGAGAAGGACGGAGGGCTAGGATTTTATAATAATTCTCTTTTTTTATTTTATTTTTCTTTATTACCAATTAGACAAGTACATGAATCATTACTTATATTTTAAACTATCGTTTATAAAAGAAATTTCCACTGAAAATTCTAGAATAATGAAAAGAACAGTTGAAAAAAGAACATTTTTAATTTAGACAAAAGATATGGGATCTATAAATAATTTTAGGTGGAGTTCCACGCGACAATTCGTATTGATAAATTAAAATCAAGATCAACCGTTTTGAGCAACGTATATCGATTTTGCTAAAAAGGTTTTAAAAGTTTTTTTTTTTTATTTATTAGGGTTTTAAAAGTTAAGTGAAGAAAATTAAATAGTACGGGACTTGAAGTACGGAAATGAATAAGTAAACAACAATAGAAAATTATACGGTTATGTCGCAAAAAATTTAAGTAAATAAATCCAATTTAAACTGAAAATTAGTCAGAAATTCGCAAAAAGTTTAAAATTACGTGGGTCACTAAAGTTAAAGCAAGTAAGCTCATGTAACTAGAATTTAGTAATAACTATCGTACTGTTATACAAAACTTAATATTGTTTAATTTGTATTCGCAATACTCTTTCTCACTAATCATCGTGAGTCTTCTTATTTTTTTTATTCTTTGGCTTCAAGACTTTTCTTATGGTACCTGTAGACGGATCCATGGGCGTCTGTTCGCGTGGCTGCATCTCGTCGGCCTCCACCGGGGACGACGATGGTCCTGGGGCTTGAGTGTTATCAGTAGCCGAGGCTGTGTTCGGTGTTCTCCTTGCTGGGCGTCTATTTTTGCGACAGACCCTAGGACGACAACATGTGCGTCCTGGTGGATTTCTGGGAGCACTAACGAGCCTTTGTATTATGTTACAAGAGAGAGCTTGCATGCCGCTCACAATAGAGTTCTGGAAAAAACAAGCAAAGCACGCTATTCACTCGGGTGTCTCTCTTGCGGGGGGGGCGAAAGCGCGCCACACGAAAATAAAATATTCGTCTCGGCGAACAACAGTTTTTTTTTTTTCGAGAAACGTAGCGTCGACCGCGGTTTAAGTACGTTCAACGCGATATCGTTTCGTGCGCTTCTTCGGCCATTGTTTTTCTTTTTCGAATGCACCCGTTTCAGATCAATTCGACGAGTCGCCGCGAGGAGAGATCGGCAGTTTCGTTCAAGTTCGTGACACGAGCGAAGAATCAAAACAAACGAGTGCCGCGCTGACAACGACAACAGACTGTAAAATTACTCACATGCTGTTCCATGTTGTTGTTATAGATGGTTTGTCCATCTTTTGGCTTCGAGCCGCATTGCTTGAAATAACCGGGTACTATACCAGGAAGAACATGGATGAAGCCATGGTCGTCTTCCTCGCTGAACAACCCGTTGTACTTGAGCTTCTTCACGATTTCGTCATCCTCCGAATCGGAATCGAATTGACTTATGTAGGTTTCGTACTCTATTGCTCGTTCTTCTAAGTTCATTTTGCTTATTCGTCGAGAGCGCACTGACGACTGGCAGAGAAGTACCTGGGCAGCTGTAGTTGACAGATCTGAGGACTCGACTGGCGTAGCTAGCCGGATTGCTACTATTTATGTGTTGCTTATAGGTAAAGCTGACGCGTGGAAGGGATAGTTATTAGTACTTTTGGGTCTGGAGGTGTGGTTTAACATACAGATAAAGCTGCCGCGTGGCAGTGATAGTCATTAGTACTTTTGGGTCTGGAGGGGTGATTTCGAAAGTGCATCGTACGATTGTCACAATGCTTATTCCCTCTTGCCAAAATTCTGAAATATTTGAATGGATAATCTTATTGTTAATTTGCCGATCTTGATCGTTTATTAATCAACAAACTTAAATGTGATAAATAGAGGAGTAACAAATGCAGAAATCAAAGTTAGCAGAAATACATTTTTCGGGCGTAGCCATCAAGTGTTGAAAGTAAACATTTTATTGTAAATTTTAATCGTTAAATTTGATGGAAAAGGGCTTAATGTGAATCGATTATTGTTTCGACAGCGAGTTTTTCCAAAGCCATGCGGCCGCAAGTATAAAAGACCGGCGCACAATATCACATATTCGTAGATGCCCAAAGCAAAATAATGTATCCCCGAGCATGTTAGCTAGGGTATTTTTCACGCTTAGCAAAAACGTGCTTTTCGTGCGATATCGAAGAAACAACAAAAAAGTGAAAAAAAGTTTCAGGCTGACCCACTCTCACAGAGTCTGTGGCCTTTAGACTGTGGCAACTGCGAAAATGCACTCGACAAGAAGTGCGCGTCACTACAGAGGTCCGACTCTGAGTAATTTTAAATGCTATTCTACACTATTATAAGATTAATGATTTTTTAGAGGGTAAGCTCTTCTATCATCGTTCGGGGGTTCGCGCAAGAATTTTAGAGCGTCAGATAAGACATATCTGTAATATATAGCAGAGGAAAACTGGGGGAGAGTTCTTTTGCTAGCCACCGAAAAATCATCCGCTGCGGCACGGCGAGCTGCGTCTTGGTGTCTCGATAACAGTGCATCTTTTTTCATAATCCGTAATAAAGTACTGATTAATTTGAAATAGTAGATTACGTATCTAGGCCAAAAAAGTATTTTGTTAAGTCCATAGCACGTGAACATTGACAACCAAAGCGTCCTGCGTATACTTACTTTTTGGTCTAGCGTCCCGAAAGTAGCATTTCTCGGCCGTGATTCGATCGGTAACTTTATGCTTATTTTGAACTCATTGCAATTTGGGTGAAATAGTAATAGATTACGTACTTAAACTCGAAAACTATTGGTATAAATCGATTTCACCTCGGTTATCAATTCTCACGTGCTATGTGGGCTTGCTAATTTTCCAGCCGTGGTACGTATACTAGTTTTTTTTTGTCCGGCGCCTTGAAAGTGGCATTTTCCGGAAGTGGCTCGGGCGCTAAGATGCTAATTTCCTGACCGGTCACAGCTCGGCCAGTAACATGCCAATTTCGGCCTCGATGGCTAAAAATAGTACATTACGATACAAGTGCGGGAAAGTAGATTCTTGTCTCGTGTGGCGTTTACGCCCGAGCGAAGCGAGCGTATTTTTTGATACGACGTGTGGAAAGTGCGATTTTCAACGCACGTTTTCTGCCGAGTGTGCGGGAAAGACGCACTTTGCGCACGGAGTATCGAAAAATAGATTCTTGTATCGTAATGTACTAATACGCACCATATGTACGGTCGCGAAATTGCCTAAGTACGTAATCCATTGATACGCACCACGGCCAGAAAATTGCAATCTAGATACCGTAATCTGTATTATTTTGCCGTGCAAGGCTGAAATATTATCATCTTACCGATCAAGCCGCGGCCCATGGCCGCCGGATTACAGGTATAGGTTTATTATGATACAAGTGTAGGAAACTAGATTCTTATGTTTAGAAACGAGAATCTCTTTCCCGAACATGTATTGTAATGTACTATGACGCTCACTGAATCCAAATTAGATAACAAATTTACCGATATACCTTCACAATTCTTGCACCTAACGTAAAGCTGAATTCTCCTATTTTCCATTGGGTTAACTAAGATCTTTCTTTAATAAAATAATAAAAATTCTTAAAAACACTTATGTATGCATAATTTGGAACTTTCGAAAACAGCGTGTCAAAATATATGTTAATAGATGGATCTTGTAAAAAATGTAGATCACTTTTTTCTCTTCGTGATTCGGTGTTCGCAATAAAAATGACTCCAATTTTATATAATTTTTAATAAAACGCAGAATGAGAGCTTTTTGTGTATGTATTATTTAAATTATATGATGGAATTTTTATATTATAAATAGAATATATTAACACAATATCAGTATATTTTTCACATAGTTAAAGAAATATAAACGGGCCAGGACATACAAAAGACAATAGATACTCTATAAGTGGAAAAGTTTATTAAAAATCATACTCATTCCCATCGAGCAATTTCTATTATATCAGTTCACTTTTAATCCTTCAATAACTTTTTGTTCCAGTCAATGCTGCATGGTTTTTCACTTTGACAAATACTATCACTTTTGTATTTGTGTGTGTTGTACAATAATTTCACCATTGTATTTTTCCGTAGTTTATTCAGAATAACGTATTTTTATTTTTTATTCAGACGATAAATGCATAACAATTATTTAATTTTATCAGTCATATTGGTTTTACGTAAAACATAATCTATTACAACCATGTAAAAATAAAATAAGTCATCTACACGATTATTTCTATTTGACAGCAGCTGTGTGATTTTCAGTGTAACAATGTTTTATGTAAACAAAACATTCAACAATAGCCACGTCTTTTTACATGCACAAATATATAAATTTGAATACCATGCTATTTTTAACATTCTAATGAATAGAGTACAAAAATTTTGTCAATAATAGCTGAAATGATTTTTATGCCAAACTTAACTATAAAATATTCAAAAATCACAGATCCATAGTCTAAAAATTTTTAATTTATTAATAAGTTATGAACGACTCTATTATCATCATTGGACTGTTCACATTCATTCTCATGCGCGTCTACAGAAAGATCCCGTCTTCGAGTGACTTGAATAAATAAACTCTTATTGCGGTACTTCAATATTTCTGGGAAGTCGTAATTCGCAGAAATACAGTTCACCACTTTTTGAAGACAAATATTACAGGAATAAACCTTTCAGGCGTCAGAAGCATATAAAACACATGTGGATTCATCTAAAAAAACGTATGAAAATTCATTTGTACCGTCTGATTTACAAAAGTAAATAACTTTTTCATTCCATAAAAGATTATTTTAGTACGTTTTAAAGGAATTTTTACAGCTAACTTCTTTGCTACTGCAGTGCAAGTTGTTTTTAACTGCTTCTTGTCAGTGCGATCACATGCATACGTATGTTGTTAAAAATAGATGTATTTTATATAAACCATTTCAAACAAAAATAATTTCTCCCACAATCAATACATACTTACACAAAATCAAGTAATTTACAGATTTGTATTGAGTCACCAAGTGACTGTTACAATGTTAAAGCACAAAAAAAGTATTTCCCCATTTTTACTCACACAAACGTATTATAAATATCAGTGAGACCAAAACAAATATTTAACACAAAAATATCTTACTTTTCCGTTTCATCACTTTCAGCATCATTGAAATATTTCAAAATAAACAGAGTTCATACTTCCATACCATTCAACTTTACACACTAGCAAGATATAAGAAATTCAAAGTCATAACGCTTCAAGCGATTAGAAAATTGTCTATCAAATTAAGCTCTATAAATGTATGAAAAACATCTGATTAGCATATTATCCATGATATAAAATCGCAGGAATGTTTCATCAATCGAACCAGCGATTAACATGTCCAAGATAGTTAGATAAAAGTTAATTTTCAAACGAAGACAACTTCATAGCGCAGTTTCTAACTTTAAGTGGCAATAAATTAATCAATACATTGACAAGAATTTATCCTTCTCGATTACACATTCAAAACAATAATATACCTCTTGATCATTGTAATATTCATTAAAAATATCTGAAGTTACCATGAAATTCATTCAAAATGTATATGTAGATGGAAAAACTTCAATTATATATAAAATACTTTAAAAAATTGTTCTATCATAATTTTTATTTTTCATCTTATATTCAGATATTCTTACGACATTTTTACATTGATTAAATTCTTTTCAATTGCATTAAAAAGAAAATTCTTATGGGTTTGTGAAGAAATAACAATTTAACTTTTAGTAACCTTAGACTAAGTTGAGAAAAACGGATATTTCTCATTCGACCTGCCCCCATTGATCATAAAACTAGTGTGTCCATTTTGAGTTGGAATGTTATACTTAGGCAGTAAACTTCTTCTTTTTTCTTCCTGCCTCTGATCATATTTCGCTTTGTTATAGCAGAAGACACCAGCAATAGCTAACACCATGCCAAAAACATTAGTACCGGTCACTGGATTACCTAAGATAAATAAAGTTACAGCAATCACAAAAATTCGTTTACTTGCACTGGCCACTGCATATGTCAAAGGTGTCACTATGGACATTACAGAGAAGGCAACAATATTTTGCAGCCAATTCAGTAGTCCATCTACTATCAGAAACATTAATGTCTTCGTACTAATTTCAACTGCAGATCCAGTCAATGGATCATACATCAAATTTCTTACATCATACACCAACCATATTGGTATAAACATAAATAATGCTAATCTACCTAATATTAACAATAGCCTCAGGTGATGAATTCCAGTATCTTTTAGCACCTGTAATAATAATAATAAATATCAGTCATAATAAATGCTAAGTAAGTAATTATATTAACCTTCTTTGAGAAAATATTTTGTAAAGAAAATGCCATTGTAGATGCCAGGGCACTGAAGAGTCCAGTGAAATTAAAGCTAAGCTCAGTAAGAGTAGCTATGGCCACACCACCGACAATTGGCAGTAAGCTGAGGTAGACCTTGCCAGTTTGTCGCTCTTGTAAAATGATCCTAGATAGCACAACTGTGAAGAGTGGCATTGTGGCCTTCACTAAAACAGGACCGAAATTTTTATCAATATTCAATGTTGTAATCTATTGTGCTTTATCATTAGATGCCAAGATTTTAATAAAATAACAAATTGAATTCAATATTTAATACTTAATGTAATACTATACTGGAATAGAGTGAATAAATCTATAATGGATAAAATTACTACCAAGATAAGAAAAGAACATTCATTCCTTACTGATGTATGCAAGACTTATTTTTTCCAATAACCTAAGTAATCAATAAAAATAAATAAATAAAAAATATATAATAATTATTAGGAGCAACTATGTTTCCCAGTAAAACTCTCTCTCAACACTCTCTTTCATTTACTATTTACCTAACAAAAAAACCGCTGTAGAGATTTCCCGTTCTAGCGGAACAATGAACAATCACATTAAATCTTTTATTATCGTCGGCGAAGCGTCGATAAATAACTATTACATCGCGGAAAGTTTTACTTTCACCGTAAAATAAACACGGGAAGGAGAAGGAAAAGAAAAAAGTAAAATCTAAATGATTGCGAGAGCAGACGTCGCGTTGTTGATAAATCAAAACACGTGGTCAAAGCATATATATTGGACCGTAAATTAAAAATCTGTCAAAGTACTTACATATACGATTACTACAAGCGATATCGGACACTAATAACATCGCGTGATAACAGCGTTTCAGTGTTATCGAACGTTGTAATTCGTAAACTTCGTTTTCCATGTACTGCGGTACGTGTACATAATACATTTCCAGGATTATTCAATGCAATAATGTTTCATTTTTCTAAATAACACAGTCAGTGATTATTGCACTCTAGAATTATGAATTGTTAACGACAAACGATAGAATTTCAACGAGGGAAAAATAAAAACGAAATCCGAAGCTAAATCCTCCGAAACTTTTGACAATTGACCAAACATATGTTCTAAAATAAACCACGGGCATTATTCCAACAATCCTACGTATATATACATACTCAATTTGCCATATCATGAAAATAAAACCTTGAACAACTCTAACCAGTGTGAGCGTACGAAACGGGCACTTTCCAGATGCTGACGTGGCTGAGTACGTTGCCCAGGAATTTGCCGAGGGCCAAGGGAACAATCAACTTGAAATAATATCTCCACGTAATCATAGTATTACTAGTCCTCCTCACACTCCACAGGTTGAACAGCGGCCCAGAAAGTAAAGTAATGGTAGTCAGTTGAACCATGGTGACAGTCATTGGATAAGGGAATTCGGAAAGTAAGGCCTTGGCGACGACGTTGCTCGATGACGACACCGCATACCACAAAAGACACAGGATCACAATTGTTAAGAGCTCACGGCTCTCTTTTCGCTCGTTACTTTCCATCGTTAGAACTTGACGATAATATTATGTTTTTTTTTTTATTTTTGTTACTTTGTTGTCCTGATGTTACTGGTGGTACACAGCGAAAAGAGGATCGTCATCGCGAGTCGGCGGGCGAACGACGACTGCTTGCAGTTGCAGTCGAGTGTTGAAGGTTATATGTTGGGCAATGCGGATAGTAAATTGTATGAGGTTGGGTCGCGCTGCGAGCGCGTGCGGTACACATGAGCTTTGGAGGCATTGAGCGTCGAGCGCGCCAGATACTGACACTGTCTGTTGGCATGTTCTTTTTTATCGCTTCTTATAAGCGTTAGTTGCGTTGCATTTGAGATGCGAGATTGCAAGGTGAACTACCTCTATAGGGTAGCTTTTTTAGACATTTTTTAAAAAGAGAGTATCATTGTAAATTAGATATAGCTCGAGCAAATTATTACGTTTGATAAGAATATATACCACTTAGCCAATACGAAACATGGCATCTTTCTACATTTAGAAAAATGGAATATTTGCCTGTTGTGGATTTTATTGTTTTCAATGATAATAACATCGTGCTTATTAGAGCAAATATAAATCATTTACAATGTTTCCAATAACTTCAAAACTTTTATGACTCTTGAGAGCTTTCTTTGCAATAAAAATCCTTTAATCGAGTTCAAGAGAAAAGATTTTTGCAAGAATCTAGAAAGTTTTTCTCTTGGTTTAATCGAAAATACATGATCTATAGAAATAAACCATAATTGTTAAAGAACATATAAATTAAATTATTGAGCATCTTCAAAATAAAATATTATGTTTTGAAGTACCACACGATAAATTATCAACTTGAATTTATTATAAGTGTTATTATTACTTATGACGTGTTGGCGTATCTTGGTTTTTATTTCAATTTTCATTAACGTTTCATTGCGAAAAATTATTATTTAGTACTCAGAAATTTTTGTATGCATACTCATGAATACATAAAACATTAATATTAAAAATATAATGACGCATTGAATAATTTACATAAGTTATCTTCATAATACTTATCATTGTCTAATATCGAGTCTAACGCTTTGTAGTAATGTCCTACTTACTAAGACCCGTGTTAAACACCAACAAGTTTTCATCATTTTTATCATTCACCTATATTGTTCTTACAGTAGCTTCTGTTGCATTGCCGATAAATAAAATAATAAACAAACAAGTATCAATATAAATAAATGAAATTTGAAGGTGTAATCCTTGATTCAATGTTTTTGAAGACTCAAAATAAAAAATACTTAGTATTTTCTTATTATCTTATTATAAATTATAATTTAAATATTCTTTTTACTGGTTCTACTATTCCTTTAATCGTTTGTTTAAAGGACAGGCATCTGATATTTGAAAAAAACGTGTCTTTTAATGAATATAAGTAAAATTTCAAATCAGATTCAGGATGTTTTGCTTTTATTGAAATATCCAATGTAAATACAACCATGTCAACAATTAGATTATTAACATGTATTACAAAGTGCATAAAAAACACGCAAGTCTATTCCTAAATAATAAAACTTATTTCAACTTTGAATGCCTGTGCATTTATAGCTTTATTGCGAAAGCATAAAACTTTGGTCGGTACATCCTGGCTATCTTTGCCTTGTGCAGTGGTTTCCACAATATTTACTAAAAATGCGTCTGCATTTTTTATCGTATAGTATCTAAACTTAACTCCAAACAATTAAATAATAATATGCCAATAATATTGATTTAAAAAGCCTAACGGCACAAGTAAGGTCCTATTCAAATGTAGTAAACCCTTAAGGGGCTTAAACCCTTATTTTGAATATTTTATATCACTAGAATATTTTAATTAATGAATATTTACATCAACAGTCAGTTATTTAAGTTAATTCCTCATAAAATATGTCTATGATATTGTAACAGCTGGCTTATAAGCTGATATTGTTACTTAATATTTATATAAATGGAAATTTTGTTTATTTAAGACAATGAAGCTTGAAACTAATTTTCATCTTGAAGTTTTGCTGATCACTTTTACTTTCTGAGAATCATTAGTAATTTATTGATTGATGATCTATCATATAGAAAAAATTATTTATCTTTAAAAGAATGTTACTCAATAAAATATTGTATACTGTGATTATGATCTAAGTTTAATGAAACTAGGAGAATGTGAAAAAACTATGTTTTAATTTAAAAAAACTAATAAAAATAAAGGAGAAAATAATGCTACTTATAAAAATTTATGGAAGCAAAACATTTTTTAACAATATTTCCAAAATATAAAAAAATTATCAATAAAAATGCTCAATTAAAGAAATTAATTTATCACAAGTTGAACAGGGTTTTTTCACATTATCATAATTTTTTAATTAAGTTAAAGAGGAAAAAATGCCTAGTTTATCTATTTATGATGGATGACATTTAAAAAGTTAGTATATTTGGTTGTTGTAAATTGGTTGATTGTCTAATACTGGTACATTATTCAATGTGATAGCTGCCAAATATTGACTGTACTCAAAACAAGGATTACATTGTTCTGTATCTGCAATAACAGCGCAATTCATATGACGGCAATAACCTAGATCATCTTGGTAAACAATACAGTCTTTATCAACTTCAAATTCAGATGTACAGATACCTTGACAAACTTTAAGCTCATTGAATTTTGTTATAATATTTAAAAGCGATTCAACACTTTTTACCTGACTAGGAAAATACGGCTCAGCCGTACTATCATTACAATTCAGAGTATTACCATGGACAGAGTAATGGACGCTTCCACTCCTACCCAAAACAACAGTTTTTTCATACATAACTACTAATGCTTTGTTTTCACTTACAGTACATTCTTTTGAAAATACCATTACATCTTCAGTACCTACTACCAATTGATTTAAGTTCCATAATTCTGGTATTATTCTGGAATAATTGTCACGATTAATTTGTATCTGTTCAAACACTGTAAGCTCCTCAATTTGACAATCAGTTTCCGACTTGAATCTTTCACTATATTCTAACACAATTTTTAGAAATGGAAAATTAAGTTTCTAAATGTAATTAATACAAGTATGCACTGAATTAGCTTACCTTCTGTATTTTCTATTTTAATGTCAGCCTGTATTTCCTCTTGTTTGATTTTCATTAGAATACCTTCAGATGCTGATAAGTCAGACATGGCATCACCTAATGATGTGACTTTTGTTTGAATTTGATCTGATGTACTTGTGTTGTCACTGCATACTGAATCTGAAGTACTTAGTCCACATGATGTATCCATGAAATCACTAATACCTGAGGTTGATGCTATTTGCTCTTGTGAAATATCTGGGAAATTGTTATTGTTATAGAATACGGCAGATGTAGCTTGAAAACGAAATTCATCAAGTGATTCATAATTGGAAAATATTGTTGGTACAGCCGATGAGGTTTTCAATCTAGTTCGCTAGAAAAATAAAAAGTTACTGTAAACCTTAGCCAATATAAAAATAATTTCATTCTGTGCTATCTATGAGAATCAGGTAGATTCTTTTCTAAATGAATCTACGCTCACTAATAATTCTGGCTCAGACATTCAGATCCAGTCATGATTACAAAATCGAAAATATGACGCCTAATACCGTCTTGATAAAGAACGAAATAACGAACCATAGAAAGCTTTTTTCATTAATTACTTACAGTTGAGTTGGTAGCTCTCTCGTAATAGCGCGACACCAAACTTGGGTGAAAATGTCTCTCGCAAACCAAGTCTTTTGGGTTGAGTCCGGGAATTTGTTGTTGCCACATACGAATTCTATTCTCATCCTTGGGACATTGAAACAAACCAAGTCTGATCTGTTCATTTTTGTGACGACGATAGCCGCACGATGGTACAACGCACATTCGGGCCGGCATTGCTTCTTGGCGTGTTGTTCGTTAATACGGCGAGTCGTGTATAACGTTGGCCTTGAATAAAAAACTTGTATTTGTGTGGTTTGTTGTTTTTTAGGTTAGACCTGGCATCTGTGTGCCTCGTCGAACGCCAATCGCGAGCGCGAGTACTAGTAAACTTAGTTTAGCCTCGTAATTTCACAAAAAAGCTACGGCAATTTTCACATTATCGTAATAAATGAGCCGCGATGACACTTCATTTTTAAATAACTGTTATCGCGTTCGCGCCGGACACACGAACACCAGGTACAGACTACAATCGCATGCAAAGTGGTTATTTGAAATCGTACACTTGGCGACACTTGGGTTGGGACAACTTCCTTTTCGTCCAATGGACGCTCGTGATGCAACTGACGTCAGCTGTGTATGTGCACATCATTCCTTTGGCCAGATGTGGATGACAAAGTTTTTGTAAAAGAACGAATACAATCGGAACGTTTTTCTATGACGGCGTTTGGGTAGTTGCCAGTTTTTTTAACTTTTTTACCCTAAAACGGTGAGGATGAAGGACCTTTTGCGAATATGCCTTGGGTTCATGGCAATCGCGAGCTGCAGTTATTCCGTTGGTGAGTTTTATTAACCTAAGTTATTTAATGTTTTCATGAATCATGTTCGTATTGGGATAATATGAAATATTCTTTTGATGTTTGATGATATTCGATTTACGGATATTATTCAAAACAGATTATTTAATGTACTCATTCATGAATTCATATATCTGTTGTAGTCTCTGCGAACAGAATCAAGGACATATTATATATGCCAATTGATACAGCAGCGGCTTGTTTCAGAAGACACAATGGTACTCACCAATTTGGGTGTTCATGTAAGTGAAAAATATTTAATTGAGTTTTAATTGTAAGCTAATTCATGATTCTACAATTACAGCTAGCAGATCGGGTAGTATTGGTGTTATTCATTATGTTGAAAATGATATAGATATAGAGTGGTTAGAAAAAAATGGTACTGCAGGACCTTATACAATAGTTTTGTCATTTGACATGTATACTAAGAGTAATTTGAGAAGGTTCAAAAAGTCTAACAATATAAATGGTGTATTATTAACAAGAAACACAAGCTTAGAACATCCATATAGATATTCCCCAGATGACACATGTCCAAATAGATACTCAGGATCAAAATCTTGCGATCATGAATGGAACCCTTATGGTTCTTCATTACTCTTAGAAGACTGGCCTTTTCCTATGTTTTATACACAGGTAATATTGTTGCCAATTCCTTTTATATAATATTTTAATATCACCTTATTGATAACATGCTTTTTATTTTCATTCAGGATGGAGATACTCTTAATAAAATAAGAGAGTGCTATTCAAAGTACAATGCCCATGATAGAGAGAAACAGGCTGAACGATCTTTGTGTGCACTAGAGATGAAATCGTTCATGTTAGCTGCTGTCAATGCAGAAACATGTATTAGGCGGAGTAATAGTGGAATGAATTTCAATCCAAATATATTCTGTGATCCCATAGGTGATAGGAATATTCATTGGCCCGCTGGTCCCATGAGTGATAGTGTCAAATACGTTATAATGGTAATTGCAAGACTGGACTCAAATTCACTTTTTGAAAATTTAATACCTGGTGCAGGCAGTGCAGTTACTGGATTGGTGACTTTGTTGGCTGCTGCTACTTATCTACATCACCTTAATGTTACAGTCAATGGTAAGTTTGAAGTATAATGTTAAATTGATTTTTTTCAAAATACCTCTTTTCAAGTAAATCATATTTTTATTTCAGATACAAATATTGTTTTCTCATTATTAAATGGTGAATCAATGGATTATATCGGTTCAAGCCGTCTAGCTCACGATTTAATATTCGAAAAGTTTGATGCGTTGGGTGGGAAATTTTTACACTTTGATCAAATAAGCTCTATTATTGAATTAGGTCAATTGGGCGAGGGGGATATTTACTTGCATACAAACAACTCGAATAACAATCCTATAATAGTCAATTTACAAAATTTAAGAAAAGAACTAAATGCCACATTCATGGATAACAGTGTACCACCAGCTTCTGTGCAAAGCTTTCTTAAACGAGATTCAAACATGCCAGTTGTTGTAATAACGAATCACGGAAGAAATTTTACCAATAAATATTACAATGGTCTGCTAGATGATGCCGAGGGTCTCGGCTATTCAAGGTATCACATTTTTTCGATTACAAGAGCAGCTAAAGTCAAATGGTATCCTATTTAACGCATTTTTTTTTATTTTAGAAACGGTTCAGAAAGGTTGACAGCCAGTTTAGCAAGAGTAGCCTCAAAACTAGGCGAGGAGCTGTACCGAATAGCAACCAAAGGCAAGACTCCACCAAGTAATTACACTTTTGTGGAAGAGTTAGTAGGCGAATTATTGCCATGCTACCTTGTGAGTGCGAGATGTCCATTATTCCGTGCTGCCTCTCCGGTAGGAGCTAAACTTCCTAATCAAGTGTTCCCGATGTACACAAGCGTCGTGAAGAATGACATGGTTTGGACAACTCTCACTGGTCAGTTGCTTGCGTTGCTTACTGGTGAACATTTTCCACATTTGAACACGTCCGCGGTATGCGTCGAGAAACATTTGCTCTGGATGGCAGGCTATAATTTCAGTGGAGCTTGTATCAACGCAACAGCAAACTTCAGTTTAGCCGTTAGTCCGGCATTCGATATCGTGGGTGAGATACTTTATTAGCACAGTATTCATTGTAAATCGCTATAATTTTGTTAGAAATGACAATAATAATATTTGTTGTTTAAATTAATTCGACAAATAGATTACGACATGAAGACCGGATACTATCCAACGTGGACAGAATCTGTCTGGCTAGACCTCAGTATGAGAATGCTGTTGAAGGCGCCTCCAGCCCAAGAAAGGCTAAGTTTGATCATCGGCAGCACTGTTGCAATTTTGTCTTTCATTCTCGTATGGTTTGTCAAGTCTCGGTCTCACGTTTTGTTTAATACTGGGTAAGTTGTCAAAAATTCTATCAATTTTCATCATCAATGTTGTCGTTATCAACTTTATCAACAGTCAAATAATGCGATAGTCTTTTTGTAGATCTGTCGACCTCTAGGAATACGAGATGGTATCTGTGGCGGCCAGTCCAGACCTCGATGGGAGCGAGTTACTCGTATAATAATGATCGACTAGTCCACACGAGTTATGACAGATCCATTAATGAGAACACGCCACTTCTCACTTAAGAATTTGAACAAATATTTTTATTTGGAAAAACGCGAAATAGTGCTTGGTATGTATCCCGTTATTCCGTGTGGTACAAAACGGGAGTATTATAGGCTTTGAGGTTGTGTCAGTGTTAGGTAAATCTGATGCATTTTGTAGAACAAAAATGTTATTAATGACGGAATCAAAGTAAAAACACGAATGAAAGAGTATTTAGGTATATTGCGTTATACTATGATCATTGTGTATCCTTCAAAACGAATGCGCATTTAAGTAACTATTTAAGTGTAGAATTTTTTTATAATACGTGTTTTAAGAGTTAAGTAAAGTATATCCTCTACTGTGGGATATTAATGACTGTCGACTGTTGATAGTTGGAAATAAACGTTATTTTGATATTAAAAAATGTACGTGTTTTTTCTGAAAAATAAATCTATTCTTTACATTAACATAAACCACAAACTATTTGGTACACAAATAAAACAGATATTTAGGTATAAATAGATTATAGAGAAGAAGAAATAATGTTAATAAAACGCATTAATGCAAGCGTGATGGCATTTATTATCGATAAACTTAATTAACAGGGCGTAGATTTACACGAGAAAGAATTAATTCATTCGTTTATCCCTTGTTTAATATGCGATGCGATGAAAAGTCTATTTATACGTTTAGCTTAGGACTTAAAAACTTTTTTCTCTTTACTCCAGTTTTAAAAGTGATCCAGAATTCAGAGACTACGTAATTCTTACGTCGTAATATTCATACACCATCGAAATACCATTCACTTAGGCAAAACATTACATCAAAGGAAGACTTATTATGGAATATACACGGAAACATGTTTCTTTAAGAAAAAGAAATTTCATTCAATTATCAACAAAAAATACAAAATTAAAACACTCACTTCAAAATAAATAAATACTCTCGGAGGGAGAGATTTGTTCTTCTGGATCACTTGTCCAATGAAAACTTTACTTTTCAATTACATATTTTTAGTCGAAATCTTGGGCAGGAGTCTTTCGAAGTAAACAATATATGCACTTGAGCATACACAATGTCGACTTGGGACGAAATACATTGAATTTTTTTATTACACGCGTGCGTCATCGCTGAACAAAATCGCAAATTTCGTTTTATCGTTCGTTTTTTATCATTCATAGTGAGTTTTTGAAAAACTTATACAAGAAACCTTGATGGCTTACATTTGTACAAGAAAACAGAAAAAATTGGAATATATTCAATTCTTAGTTTAACATGATGAAGTATTGCTTGCTTCAGTCGCATTTACATAAAGTTTAACCAGTCTTTGTACTTCTAAATGAAAGCTTTGTCAATCATAGAGCACTTTACAATGTGTATGTGTGTATGTGTGCGCATATATGCATGCATATATATATATATATATATATATATATATATATATATATATATATATATATATATATATGACAAGTATTTTCAAAAACTCAGAACATTATTCTTTTGATCATCTAATTCTAAACCCTCACACTAAGAATTATGTAGCGGCAAATGTTTTGCGTCAAATTAATTTTTTTGTTTGTCACTTCTTTTACATTTTGTTTCATATTTTTTTATCGTTTTAAGTATACAATTATTATTATGAAGTAGGAGGCTGGGCACCGCCCACCGAGTTTATCACAGTCGCCTGGTGCCGCAGCACATACGTATACGTGGTTCAGCCTTAAAACCTACCTCTTACAATTCTACCGTTTAGACCTTATCAACTAAAGTTTCCTTTTCTTCGTTCGTCACTTATTCCAGTCGTATATGAGAGCTTTGCTACGCACAACGATTTCTTATTTCGTTTATTTATTCAATTTTTTTAAACCTTTTCCTTACACGCTATTTTTCCACTTGCTTATTGCTGTTCGTCGATGGGATATCGACTGATTTTTATTTTATTTCATGACTTTTATCGCTTCAAGTACATAGTTTAAGAAATAAGGTAGACGACTGTTTCTTTCTTGTCAATCTTTATCTTTGAACTGTACAAAAGGGAATTGGTTGCAATAAGTATCATTTAGTTCACTTTACTCTATTTATTACTATGTAAAAGAGGAACAAATCCGTTTTTATCGTTGATCGATTTTTTTCTCTTTAGCTTCATTTTTCAATCAAATCTTTATATTCAGCAAATCAATTGTATAAATCTATTCAAGAATAGTACAAATTAGTACGCAATCCGTAATATAAATATAAAATCAGATAATAGCATAGTCAAAAAATATAGTTCATAAATTTAAACAAAGCCAAAACATAACGTAACTTAAAAAATCGTATGAATATATCTTTCGTATAAAAAATGTGAGTTCAGCAGGTTCTGTCATTTCATATTTGAATTTTATAACGTGACCTTTTTTCCTTAATAGATAATGGATACATTTTTATTTGTTTCTCGTTCGACGTAAATATTCAAAGTTAAAAGTTCTTTTTATTTATCTTCCTCAATACCGCGAGTTAATAGTGACAATATTGAATGTATAATATTTACAGCAATGCACCGAAGAAGCCAGAAGAAATACACTTGATTTATTTTTTGAAAATTTTCCGCATTAACGACGTTATAGCTTCCGGGCACACGGCACAAAAGACGACACTTAGAGTTTAAAAATATAATCATTAATATGTATATATACTTCAATAAATTTTGAGTAGCCGTTTTATCAATATAATATATACCGATACTTTGACATTTTTTGAATCCTTAATTTTCTTTCTTCTGTCGTTTATAATTCTTAGCGCCACAAAATTATGTATGATTATCAATGCTTGCCCGCTCTCTCCCTCTCTCTCTTTTCTATATAATCATGTACAAGCTGCGAAGTCTAGTTAGGTCTACATAAAATCATAAGTACATATACACCTTATCGCTCTAATTACGTATAAGTAGTCGAGGAATTCTCGAGCGAGAGAGTTTACGATACACACGGTTGAAATTTGAACATCAGAAACAAAAGTAAGTCACTTACACGTAGACAAATTGATTTCTTTTTTTATTTATACATTGAACCATACATAATTTGTTTTATTCCACTTGCGTCATGTTACTGTATCTTGGAGGGATAGCACTTTTTTTGTTATGAGTATCGTCAAAGAAGAGAGACATTCCTCAATATTCAAATGGCACAATCAGGGTGATATAATTATTACTGTATGGCATCATCTATTTCTCTTAGTTATTTGGTGTTTGATTGATGGTTTGACAGTGGGTAAAAATCTTAATGAGGTATACGTAACCGAAAACTAGGGTACGAGGTATATGTATATACCATTTACAATGTGAATCATAAAAAGAATAATTGCATAGTATAGCTGTCTTAAATTATTTGTATACAATTTTGTACAACTACATACTGCGTAGTCAAAAAAGTCATGCACATATACTCTACAAGTTGATAAGCTTGTACTTGACTGTAAAATGAAGAGACTTTTAGGAACTTGTATGTGTGTATGTAAAATTGAGGTCTGTCATATTATCTGAAGCGGAAGTGAGACTACATTTAGAAGTATCTTTTTCTTTAGATCTATAGCGAGACAAAAAATAAACTCTCCTTTAGGTTATGTATCGTTATATCAAGTTCAATTGAGATCCATTAGACTCATCTTCAATCCACGATGCACAAGAAAAATAATGTGCAACTTGTGAGAAAAATGTAACTCACAATAGTAGAAACAGAGTGATTTACTATTTTTAGAAAAAATTATTCTGGAAGAAATATATATTGTTTATCGAAAGACTATTGTATAACTTTTTTAGATATAGAAACAAAGATAAATCTGCATACTTAAACGTGTGACTATTACGCATACAATAATATCGAGAGCGTAATGATGGCGAAAATGCAAATAACTGTACAAGTCGTCGAGGAAGAAAAATACACCTCGATGTATGTTGAACACAGTCGAACGAAGGTATAACAGTATTTTATTCGAAGATCGAGTATATCAGCAATTTTTAAAGCGTAGTTGTTACTAGTATCTTCTTTTTTATTATTTTCATAGTACAAGGCGCTTTTTGCTGTTACATCTTACATCTTAGTTAATGAAGAATTTCTAAATTTTTGGCAGCACGTTCATTTAAACAAAGTAAAAAATAACAAGTACATTGATTTCATTTATTAGTAAAATGCTTGCCTTACCACCGCAAACCAGTATTGTTGCAAAATAATAGGAAAAAAAACACTTCAACGAATGAAATAAATTTTCAATGTATGCAACAAACGTACTGCCATGCACGAGGTTCGTATTCAATTAGAAGAAGTATACTTGGAAAAATCTATAGAACTCTGTTGGCCGAGTAATAGCCTAGAGTTTAAACGCACACTGGAGGTTCTTTTGAAAGATCTCTGATCATCATTATGAGTTTTGTGAGTACGGCTTTTACTTATGTGACAGTTAAAGCGAAAACTAGCCTCGGATACCTTAATACTGAACAGGATGATGGACGATGAGGAGAAGAGTTGAGATGAATACAGGGAAATGATTGTTCGTCGTGGTCAGTGGACGAAAGGCTTCGTTTCATCGATATCGATGCCACCATCCTCACTGTCTTCGTAGTCATCACGGCTGTGTTGTTCGATACCGTCGAGACCTGAAGTCGAAAATTCTCTTATTCAATGTTCAGATTGAAATTGAAACTATTGACAACTGTACTAACCGGTATAAGCACCCTCTCCATCGCTCGAGCCATTGTATTCACTACCGGAGTCTTCGGATTGCCAATCACCCTGCTGCAAATTCTTAGAATTGGTCTTGGACTTGGGTCGACTTTTTCCGCTGAAATTACGTATTTGTGGTGGTGGCGTTGGCGCGGTTGTGGCCACCGGTATGGCCCCAATATCGGTCGTATTGGCACCGTCAAGCATTGGCTGCAGTATGCGTCGACGCGCGTTTATAAACCAATTATTCACCTGCAACAACGTTAGATTCGTCTCGCTGGCTATGGTGCGCTTCTCATCCTCCGTTGGGTATGGATGCTACAGAAAGTCCAAAAAAATTATTTTTTAAAGTTTATTTCAAAAATTACAAATATAAAATAAGAAACCTAATGTAATCATCCTAGTTTTTTTTCTTTTTTTAATTAACTAAATTATTATTTATTACAGTATGGAAAAAATAGAAACATTTTAATTAAAATAGAAACTTTGGTTATTAAAATGTATAATTTTTATGAAATATAAAAATTAAGTTTAGTAAATTTATTAAAATAAAAATAAAGTCAAGTAAAAATACATTTTTATTATAAAAATAACCAACCACTAAATGCTGAAAGAGCCAAGCGCGCATAATATTGGTAGCGTGTTTGGGAAGGACGCCTCGCTTGGGCTTTGGCTTGCGGGCTGAAAGCGCGCCGACGCCAACCCCAGCAGCGACGCTATAAGCATCCTCGTCATCTTCGCTCTGCATAGACGAAGGGGAGCCTGCAACAGTGATGTCTGCACCACCAATACCGACAAAAGTTTTTTATTAGTTTTTCCTTGTAAGTTCGCCTTTGTTTCATTAAAAAAACAATTTGTATTTTCAAAATTTGAGTTTTTTTTTAATTGTTATAGCTCACAAGTTGATTTAGTGAAAAAATTTGCAAATATATTTTTGGAAGTGTCTTTGTTATAAGTGTCGCATGAAAGATCATATGTAGTCTAATAACCTAAACCTCTTCTCTTATGTATTGCTGCGACACCCAAGAATTGCAATTCGTTCTTTGCCTCTTGCAAGGCGAACAGTCCCCAGTAACTTGCTTCTTCAACGTATACTCTGTCAGACGAATTACTCAAAGAGTCCGCTTCTACAAATGGGGATAAACATTGTTTGACTTTTGGAAAATTGTTCTATCAAAACCACCCTTTATAAGTAGTAAAGGCTCGATAGAACATCTTTAAGTGACAGAGTTTTTGTCTTAAAATATCCTGAAAGCTTCGCTGACGTTATAGCTTGCCCACCTTGTCCAAGATACATGTCGTTAACGGGCGCCGGATGTGCTCCAATCTGCGAAAGTGGCGTGCCTCCATGAACAGCTGGACTGACAGACCGATGATCATCAAGATCGGACGGCGAGCGATGATGCCGAGCGTCAATGGAAGACGATGATCTGGAACCCGACGACGGTCGCAGCAGCTGCTGCTGATGCTGCTGCTGTTGGTGCGACTCGAAGGCCAGTGGATCCGAGGGCCTCGGGTGATGGGATAACGATGATTCGTCGCTCACTCGGAGTCCGTTAGCTCCCGACTCAACATCATTGCCTGTAGATGACAGCACCTGGCAAATATATGTTGCAGCTAGCTGTCAAAGAGCAGGGAGCTGGGGTTGCGGCCGTAACTTACAAGAGGCGCGCCTTTCTTACCAAATCCACGATTTTACGTATCAATTGTTTAAAAATATGTTCGGAAGAGAAATATTGAATATTCTTTTACTTTAAATCAATAATTCAGTGACATCGTTGTATGAGGTTGTTAATCATGGTTGACAAGAATGTCTGACCAAAGCGTTGACTTTACTACTTATTTAAACCTCATAGTTCAGATTCACTTTTTAAAATATGTTTCGCAATGTGATTGTAATGTCCTGTTTCATGAGTAATTATATTGAAAAAAAAATGAGAAGTGATAACTGTAACAATTAAATAATTATGCTGTTGAAAGTAATCAAAACTTTTTATCACCTAATAGACACGTTTTAATTTATTTGAAGCGATTATATGAATATATAATTTATCTGAAGTGATAATCATACAATAAAAATAAATTCAGACTTTTGAATATCACGAAACAAAAAAAGATATTCTAAAACAGGACTTTGCAATACGCTTCTACTAAAATACAAGAATAAGAATTTTACGTAGATTTGGTTACAGTACTTGAAAGATTACAATTGCAAAAAGCGAAAATTGAATAGTTAATTAGTAAAGCAGTTAGCTTTCCGTTAGATAGAAAAATAGTAATTCAGACAACAAAAAGTTCGATAAATAAACTGTACATTGTGATTAATAACCGCGATACCACAAACCAAAACTTTATGACAAACGCGACATTATGCTCAGAAAAATAACATATAAGTCACAGCGAATGAATCGGAAACTAAAGTAACAAGGCACGCAGTAAAACTTCGCGAAATTTACATTGGCAACTTGAAAATGACTTTCGAAAAGCAATCGCCGCCTCGCGATAAATCAACTCACTTGGAAAAAAAATCCTGGCAACGTTACAACAACAAAAAATTGATTACGGAAAAAGGAAGTTGGCACTAAAGTTATGCGCGTCGCGCATACGTCAACGATGATAAAAACTGTGAGAAAAAGAGAGACCGAGAGAACACACAATGCGTCTAACGGAGTGCTAACTGAAAATCAGCTGCCATTTCCGTGGGCGCCGATACATATGCCTCGGCGCGCCTCTCCGTACATATTGGGATCTGCGTCTACTTGGACAAGGAGGAGCCAAGGATTGTTGTTCGTTTTTTCTTCGTTCGTTGGTGAGAGTTTGATGCAGAGGAAGTGGAACGTGAGATTCGTATTTTTTAATACAGACGACGTATTGGTATTTGATAATATTCTTAAAAGTCTATCTCACAGACGAATTAAAAGTAGATGTCAATTTCAAATATATCTAATCATCATCATACAGAATATTACATTTTTCAGTACGTCCTCTGCGACGTTTCAAATGCAGGAGATTCAGAGAATGATTGTTTGGAAAGCGTGCCGCTGATGGATAAAAAGCGCTTATATGTGTGCAACCATTATGTTATATATAAATATTAGTAATAAATGTTAGTTCATAGAGAAAAAAATCGATTGGTAGGTGCCAAGATTATCGATATCTCATCTAATCATCAATTAATCAAAGTAGAATTCCCAGCACCAACCGTAAAATACAATTATAACCTCTACCATATTTTTTTTAGGAAAGAACTAGCTAACCTGCAGTGGACTGCTGCCATTGCTGCCACTCGACGGCGCGAGTCCATCGTGACCGTGATGACCATAATCGCTGCGTAATAAATTCTCGCTTTGCATTTTGCCCTTTAAACACGTGATGTAACGATTGCAGAAGTCTTTGCACAGCTCTTGTACTTTCTCCAGCTCCAGCAGGTGAATCCGCAACACCTGGATGGCTTTGATCATCTACGATGATGTTTGATAATTAATTGTGTTAGCTTCTATAGTTTATAAAGATTTGTTTTCTTAGCTAGCTACTATCGCTTTCTTTTGCGACGTGTTGTTCTTTTGTTTTTTTTTGTATACTTATGAAAATTCGTCGATTCCTAAATAAATATTAATAAATTTAAAAAAATACGATCTCGAATAACTTTAATTGATTTGAACTCAAAATGATTTTCAAAAAAACAACTGTTGAAAATAATGATGGAAGTCGTCAGAAAAACAAAAACAACCTCGAATAACTTGATTAAAACTTCTTGGCGTCGTTTGAAAATGAATTTTTAATAACAAAAATAAAACAAAGAGAAAAGAAAAAAATAATAACATTGTTGAAAACAATAGTCGAAGTTTCTTAATTATGCACATCAGCAAAAGTTATCCTAGCGCTGGATCGAGTTAAAAGTCATTAAACGGCGCAAAGTTGCAATTCGAAGTTGTACGTATAAAGGATTAAAACGTGATACTCTTGCGAGATTTTCATAAAACTTCTCTCTCGGGCAGGGGCGCTAAAGTCGATGCGGGGATTAAAATAGGCAGCTCGCTCGCTCGCAGCTAAGGGAATTTAATACTTAAACACGAGCGCATTTCCATCTCGTAAAGAGGGCTTTACTCGCGCGTTCGCGTAAAGTTATAAAAAAATGGGGGGCATTTTTTTCTTCACACTCGTCGTAAAAAAAAAAATTCTTTGGAGTTTTTTGGCGTCGAGTGAAGGAAGAGAGCGAGCGTACCAGACCGTCGATCTCGGGGTCATTGATGAGGAAAGGCTTGCGATCTCTCTCTTGGTGCTGCACGAAAGCCTGTATGTCCATATTGAACGACTCGGAGGTAGAATTGTCGGACGACTGCGTGGCTTGCTCGCATCTCTCGAACAGCAAGGCGAGCAGGGGGAAGAGGGGGTGCTTGTAAACGGCGCGCTTGTCGGCTTCGAATTGCGCTTGATCTTGATGGCTGGCGTAATCGGCGACCCCCGTTGCAGGGTCCTGATCGTAACCCGGGGTCACCATGGCTAACGCCACCGCGGTGCTGCCCTCTTGCATCCTATCATTCCTCATGGGAAGCAACTGGACTAGCCAAGCAAGGCCTCAACATTCTTGAAAGCTTCTTGTGTCGTTCAGTTTCTCGAAGTCACTGTCAAACTGCTGGGTTCACAGTGGATCTGAAAAAAGAGGGTTTTTCTTTGCTGATTTTCACTAGTCATACGTGATAGAAGCTTAAATTTATATACTGATGTTTCGATATGTCGACTTGATACTTGTGATTTCATGTTTTATCTAGAAGTTCCGATAAACATTTGGAATATCGGAGTAGGTACGAGAAAACTTATTTGGAACGTGCCTGATTTCTTTTAGATTTTCAAAGCCCCAGGAACGAGAATTCTTTATTATTTTTTCTCGATATAATACGTCGAATGCAGCATAATTTGCAACATTAAAGTAAATTGAAAAAAAAGAAGAAAAAAAAATATATCTCGATGTATGTCCCCGCTGTAAATAAAAACGATGAAAAATTGGAAAAGAAAGACACGCACGTAGCCATCCCAAAATAAACATATTTATGCGATTAAGTATTCATTGCGCGCGAGGGCGTCGATCTCGTCGTCGCAGTCGGCGTGAATGCACCTTTATCCCTCTCCGTGCAGAAACCTCCTCTCGCTCTACACTCGCTCTCCGCAACCGGGCGAAGCGAGAGAGCGCTACTGCATTTAAATGTCATCATTAGGAGTTTCTCTTTCCCTCTCCTCTCGTGTACACGCACATACACGCGCGCGTGTAGCGAAATTCCGTTTTTTTTTTTTTCGTTTCTCCTGTGCTTTTATTTTGCCCCCTCGGACGAGAACAAGAAAAGAAAAAGGAACAGGACGCGAAAGGGATTTATACGTTGCAGGGTGCACGCGGCGCGAAAAGTGTAAGTGTGAAAGAGGCTTTACGAAAGCTGACGAAGTTTTCGAGCTTACGAGGAGAATGCCTTGAGTCAGCGAGTTTCGCGGCTTTCCACGCGCTGCGGCGCAAAAAGTAGCAGAGAGTCGCATTGTTCCGGGCGCACTTTTATTCACTTCCCGGCAAGCTTTTGTTTTTGTTTTTTGTTCTTATCGTCGCGAAAACAAGTTTCGTCCCTCTTTCCGAATTGGATATATTTGTGACTCGCGTCAATTTGAATCCGCGTAGGAAATATAAAACGCGAGATTAATGAAGCTCCGACGAGTCGATGATTCCCGTACGGAGATTGTCGGCGCAAAGGTAACGGAATAATACATTGCCGAATCAATGCGACCTTTCGCGGTCGTCGAGGCGCGAGAGGAAAACAACTGCCAAGTGGAAAAGGCGCTCCTTCGCATCAATTACGCATAAAGCCCGTTTTAATGTTTAAATTTGAAAGTGCGCGTATATACGGGCAAGCCGCCCCACGAGGATTGCGCGCCTTAAAGCCTTGGGGGCGGCAGCGCCGAGAGAGGAAAAGCTCCTGGCACCGTGTGAATAAATAAAGCCAAGTGGGCACGTGACGAAAACGAACAAGAAGAGAGCAAAAATCGCGCGCGCGGGCGCGCGTGTATCTTTTTCCGGGATCTCGTTTTTTGTTGTTGCTTTTTTCGATATCGTGGCGCAGCCCGCGCCTTCGGCGGATGCGTGCCACCCTGAATACGCAAGTTTTCTTTTTTTTTTTTTCTTCTCCCTTTTTTACAAGATTTGAAGCACTTCCGTTTGATTTGGTTTGGTTTGGTTGCAAAAGTTTGTGTTCTTTTTTAGTTGGGGTAGGATACTTTTTAGAATGCATGAAAGTGTATGGAATGCGCGAGTTAAAGGTGAATTCATCGCGTTGTGAATCGGATTTCGTTCGGCAAGAACGAAAATAATGACTTGTAATCTATGATATGAAGAAACACCGTCGTACAATCAGGCGAAATTCGTGTAATAATGAAATTAGCGCAATAGTATTAGAAAATAAAAGAATAAATAAAAGAAAAAGATAACGCTTCCGTTCGGCTACTAGATGAAAGAAAAGTGACAATAAGCATCAGAAAATCCATCGTGAGACTGGCTGATCGCCGAAGCGACCATGACGATGGGGGAAGAAAAAGCGGGAAAGGCCGTAATCAGCGGCTATTCACTTGTGCGATAAAATCGCAATTCTGAAACGCGATTAAAGGCTCGTCCGGTAAACCGGTGTCGCACTGACGAATCGACACGTTAATCATTCGAATCATAGCGAAATAGCAGGTAGATCCCAGCTCGTCACCGTGGGAGTCGGTTTTCGCGCGTGACCAAACTTACGGCGTGTGAAAATCAATCGACATTCAGGTCCAGGAGGCCATCCGCCCGCGACGCGCTCACGGGAACGCAATCGAATGCGGACCCGCGTAAATGAATTTGTTGCACGTCGCCGAACGAAGAAATAGAATCAGACGGCCATTCGAAGACAGCTGTGCTTTATTTTCTCTTTACGCCCGTGCACGTGCTGCTGTCGCTTGTCGGTTGCGATATTTAGAAGAACACTTGATTACGTTCGGCTTGAGTCCGCGTGACATTGCCTATGGACTGTGCTTTTCCTCGCAGATGAGCTTCGGAATGGTTTGATCTTTAAATTCAGCGACAGTCCAATGAGCTGAGTTAAACACGAAGCTTCATGATTCTTTTACTTAATATTTTTTAATCGACATTTCACATTAACGTATATCAATATAAACGTGAAGATATCGAGCACAATTATCACAGAACTCATAATCCCATTACTTATTAGCAATTTAAAAGTATCTCTCTACACAGATAAAAAATTGTCGAATCATAAACGACGGACAAAGTAGTGCATTGAAAGAATCGTAATTCCATTTATAATTAAACTTGGATGGAGGTATCGTGTAATCAAGCTTCAATGGCACAAGAAAAACCCAGTGAGATGCTCGGAAAGAAGCAATATATAACAAATCATTCAAGTCCACTTCCGAATCCCCCAAAAATCACATCGTCTATAGAAAACTTACACCCTCACAACTGAAATAAGAAAAAAAAAAACAAAGAAAAAGCTTGCTAGAATAAAGAAGCAATTACCGCAAAGCGCTCCTTTATATATAAATCCCTCGGCCATTGGAAAAGCGCGTACGGCAATAAAGCACGCTGGGGAAAGGCCTCGCCCTCGCCGCCCCGCACGCCCCACCGAAGTGAAATTAAAAAGGAAAACCGAATGGCTGGCGGTGGTCTGTCCCAATAAAGCAAAATACCGCGGGAAATGTCCGCAGCGCTACAGACTTAAGAGCTGCCGCTGCCCCATTACTCGCAAGTGGCGCGCGCGCGCGGCGAGACACCCCCTCCCCCCTCCCGACGTTTATCGCACCGCGAGTCCTCGACAGCGCGCGCGCGCTGACTACACGCACTGAATTACCGCGCCAACTTTTCTTATTAGTCTCGAATCGAGAACGCCTGCGGACGAACGGGACGTTCGCGTTGAAGCTTGCCCGGGAGGCTCGCGACGCAACCTTTTGCAATCGTCTCCGAAGCGCGCGCTTGGCGTAGCCACTCGACTGCTCTGCTCGTCGGCGCGCGGTTAAATAAAGCGAGCGCTGCACCCTTCGACCACCGCGCGACCCTTGGTCTATGTATATATACATATATATATATATATATATAGGGGGAAAGTCAGAGCACGCCGTCGCCGTCGTTGCTCAAATTGCCTTCGTTTGCTTCTTTGCGCGTCTGCTTTGTCTCTCGCTCCTATTATAATGCCTGCACCGCGTCGCTAATTACTTTTGTAAACGCCCTGCTCCCGAGATGTCAGCTGTGAATTATTAAACGCCTCTCCACTGGCACGACTTTTATCTCTGACGAACGAGCTTCCGCGGCTCAATTAGATTTCGCGAGCAGGAACAGCTCACCGATGCTCTAATCTCGATGGGATTATCGAGAGAGAAATAGCGTCGATTACCGCGAGCAGTTAAGTGCTCGCGAGACGAAAAGGCAAATCGATCGCGCGAGCTATCTCTTCGGCGAGGATCGAGCGAAGCAGAAAAGGAAAAGAATCCAAAAGGAAATTGAAATAGCGCGTGAAGCGATTTGTTTACATTCGCAACGATCCAACGCAAGATATACGGCATTTAAACACCGCTTTTAAGAGGCTTCTCAACCCGCTTAAATACATCTTCTCCGCCCGTAAATCCAACTCTCGAACGCACTCGCGCTAGTGGGGCCTTTCTCTCTCTCTCTCTCTCTCTCTCTCTCTCTCTCTCTCTCTCTCTCTCTCTCTGTCTCTCTCTCTCTCTCTCTCTCTCTCTCCCTCTCTCCCTCTCTCTCTCTCTCTCTTTACGTGCGTGTGAGACTTTACCTCTGTGTTTATAAAGCCCCGCGCGCGTAACGAGCACTTCACTTTTCACGATGGACTGCTGAGGCAAACAGTTTTATACGATTTATGAAATGATTGGGCAACGCGAACGAGAGAAAAAGAGAGAAATGCATGTTATTAGCGTCATTGCTTTTATTTGAGCGCCGATTCGTTCGAAAATTGGTTCGATTAAAAATAAGTAAATAGTCGTTTTTCTCTTTTTTTTTCATAAACATGATAACATTTTGCTGACGGTTAGAAAGTCTATAACTGATGTATTTTAACGGATAATCAAATCAATTATAAAAAACTGTTGAGTATTTATTCGTAGCATTACCAATCAATTAGTTTGCAAATTATTCGAGAACCTAAATTTACCAACAAATGCTAAATTGAAATTCCTTAAATGTTGATTTTCTAAAATAAAAGTGGACATTCGAATAAACAATGTTCAATGTCTGAAACAGTAAAGATGAACGTTAAATTTGATAGACCGCACGACATAAAAAATGATCAAGAAAACAACCATAAAGTCTAAACTGCCAAGCCCTGGCACAACAAACCGAGAGCAATATTTCCAATTAACGTTATTACGAAGTCATGCCTCGCAAACGTATGTTCAGACTCGCACTACTAAATTAGTCAGTGCCACTGCGATAAGATAATTCAAAGCAAATTTTTTTCTTTTTTTTTTAACGTTGAGTTAATTCAAATTCGTTGCAGCCATCCGCAGTGAGAAACAGCGGCCCTGACATTTTCTTGTTTAATTCATCGTTGTTGCAAGACATTGACATCGATTGAAAGAAAAAGTATTCGATAACAATGGACGTTTTCGAATGATGGAATCGAAAACACGGCGTGACAAAAGGGTTTTTATGTCTTGGATTACGTTTGTTTGTCGCGTGCCAATATTGGGTCACGTGCATACAAGTGAGCGTTAGTTTGGCGTGTAAAATGTAAAATTTGATATATATATATATATATATATATATATATATATATATATATATATAAAATTTGATATATGACGATGTAGAATGGTGTTGATAAGTATGGTTTATCTGGGAAAAATAATGCAAACAGAGAATGGTTATTATTAGGTCAACATACGTCGTTGAAATTTTTCAAAATGCTTGTTTTACCGACAGTGATTACATAAGTTGATGGAACAAAATTCGAATAAAGAAAATATAATATCACCTGGTAATTTTATTTTGTGAGTATGCAAGTAATGATTTTTTTTACATTTCCTTCCGTGAATTAACTACATTCTGAGATTTCCTAAGTATCATATGTTTCCTCATATTCAGCATTACTTAAAAATTTTATTTATTAGGACTTCAAAACGAATTATTCTTATGAATATGCATGAAAATAGATTCAACGGCTTAAAAAAAATCCAATAAACGTTTTCAAACCACATGAGTTTACTTAGATTTTGAAGCATTGCAGATATCGGAGGAGAATTACAATTCTACTAGCGAGTAGAACTAAAAAAACTACATGACTTCAGAACTTTAATTTAAACGTGACCAATATTCCAAGTATCGATGTAAGGTTATTCGAAAAAAAATGATGTTATATTTATTTACCACAATGATGTTGCGTCAAATATTAGATTTTTCATTCATTATACACTGCGAGCAAATAAAAATGCACAAATCTACTTAGCGAACAACCATTTGCGAAAATTCAATTGATACTTCGGAACGCACACACTTAACACATTCATGCTCCAAAATAACTTATAGTCAACGCGTACACTCAACACTTGCCAATAACAAAAAATAGAAGTCCGATGAATAGTCAAGTCGTTACGAGTAGTAGCACGTTGACAGCACGACTGCGAAAACCTTATCGCCGTGGGGGTATACCCGAAACAAACAAACAAAGCTCATCCAAAAGGAATGATACGTAAAGTGACATTCAAAGCCCAGCAGGCTGGAGAGTATAAGATACAAGTATAAGCGGAGAAAAGAGGGGGAATCGCCGGCGCCGCATCTTTTCTCTCTTCGCGTTTTATACAGCGGAAAAAAGAAGGAGCTCTCCTCTCCTCTCCACTCATTCTCTCTCTCTCTCTCTCTCTCTCTCTCTCTCTCTCTCTCTCTCTTTCGCTTGGCGCTATCGATCGCATCAATCTGCAATTCTGTCATGAAAGAGAGAGAGAGAGAGAGAGAGAGAGAGAGAGAGAGAGTGAGAGAGAGTGAGAGAGAGGACGGGCGAGAGAAATGGGCGTTCACTTTATGCCATCCCAACGAGAGAGAAAGAGAGCTGCGCGCCGCCGATGACTTTTTCGCACGTCGCGGCGCACACACTGTCCATCTCTCTCTCGCCCTGCGAATACCTAACCTCAAATATCCCGTAGTCATACACTGTATATTTTTTTACGCATTCTCGAACGTCACATGCTAATGACGAGGAAAAGGGGATTATTTATTTTCGCACGAATTCTATGTACGTGATAAATGAGACGTTTGTGTCATTTACCTGAAACCGGCGCTTTACTTTCACTCTATCTATCTCTCTCTCTCTCGTAGACACCACTGGCGTCTTCGATAAATACGCACGCACTGCACTATATAGAACCGCTGCGGCGTGCACGCACAAAAACACTGGCGAAAAAAGTAATAAAAACAGAAAACTATCTTCGACACCTTGGCCTCGTGGTCATTGAATGGACGGCTTTTGTTTTCTTACATTCACACACGCACTCCGTATATACACTTGTTTCGCGAAATAAAATTAACAATAATTATTTATAAGTTTTCGAGATCGCACATATATAACACACACGCGCTCTAGCAAGAAGAGATACCAAGTTCACTTTTTGGCAGCGAAACACAGACTAAAGTAACGAAGTGTTCGCCTTGAGAGAGTGCGAGAGACACACGATACGGACCAGTCTCTTCTCTCTCACAGCTCGCTGCTCACCCTTTTCCCTCTTTATCTCTCTTTCTCTCTCTCTCTCTCACTCACTCTCTTTCGTTGCTGCTGCTGCCTGGCGTGCCAGAGGCAGAGCGGCGTGTCGCTCTTTTGTGACGTCACCAATTCAATACTTTTCGCTAAAGGTGCCGTCGTGTGGATGTCGGAGGAGGATAGCATGATAGCAAAGAGAAAGAAAGACAGAGAAGCAGGTTAATTTCGGCGGATAACCACTAGAGCGCGCTTTTTTTGAACGCGGACTTATTCCTTTTTTTGCGAGCCCGGATACGACAAAGTTTACCGTATGAGACGAGTCAACTTATGAAGGATTTTTATACTTTATTTTCGCTAAAATAGGGATTGTTTATCAAACAATAATTTGATTTTAATGATTGAAAATGAAAGTGAGATCTACAAGTTGCTTTACAAAATTGTTATTCACATTTACGATTCTGAAAAAAGCAGTAAATCGTTTCTTTATACCATTTTTTCCAGCATATTTTATTTTTAATTAGTTGTTCATAAAAAGGAATATCTTGTCGAAAGTTTAAAATTTGGCGGTATTTCATTCCCACTCAGATTATGTCACAAAAAGCTAAATTCATCTTCTACAAATAAAGAATTAAAGCAATTCTATATTTGCTCCGAAATAATGCTAAAGGCCAACGTGAATTTTATCCTATTACTAAACTATGTACGACAGTTTGACCGACATTCGACTTTTTGAATAAAAACAATTAAGCTTAAGTAGCGATCGATACATTGTCACGAGCTTTTATCTCCGCAGTCGCTCAGGATAAATACGCAAGATAAAGGGGGAAAAAAGAAGGCGAATAAAGGGACAACAGATGGTGCCACTTCTCTAGTACCTTGTGAGGGTGTTGCCGAAAGCGCCAAGCTTCGAATTCCACCCCCTTGAGAAGTAACAATTATCTGTTCTAAAACTAGTCATTAACCTGGACATTACCATGTGTATGTATGTAAATATTAGACACTTTTTACATGAAAACTTTGTCTTGAAAGTTTATGGAAATAATAATCATTAAATTATACTTACAACCGGATTTATAACATCATCACTTTTTATACACTTTGCTCGAACGGATTTTTATTTGCGATTAACATTTTATGCATATTACTCTATAAAAATATTAACCCATAATAAATAATGACGGCTATATGAATCAGTCAAATTGTTGAATCATTCCAATTCGATATCTATGAAATTGCAAAAAATCAACCTACAATTAATTACAATGTTTATCATGTTAATTCTATAAATGATTTTTCCATTGAACAGTCATCTAAAATAAAGTCTTATCCCACTCCTAGAAATGCGATAACTATAGGATTCGAGACCTATCGCAAATAATTATCTTCTCGCGACACTAACCGGCTTGACAATTGTTACAGTCGACTAAGCGTGAGCACGCATATGAATCCGCACCTGTACGCATTATCTGACTTATAAACGATGAGTAATACGCGTGAAGAAAACGAGCTCTCCCGTTGATTTTTATCTTATCAGCCGCGTTATCGTCACTCGCTCGCTTGCTAGCCCACTCGCGATAATAAGCGCTTGGCTACGGTTAAGCCAGTTCGGACGTGGATTTTGCTGGATATAGACACCATGCCGCGGATTTTCGACGCTATCCTCGTTCTTTCCTTTGCGTTTGCTTTGGCTATACCAGATAATGAACCGACACTCAACAGAAAAGTGTGTGACGTGTGTAGATGTACCGGTGAGTGAGAGTCTCAATTTCAATGTTATAGAGCTTTTATGCATTTTTCACGGAGTTGCCTGACGTTGTCACGGTGGCGTTTTATGTTCAATGCAATTTACAAAAATTAATATAAAACTTTATACAGCTATTATGCTGTACATACTTTATGAAACATCGTCACATCCTCCGATCAAACGCAATCGTGAAATATAAAACGTTAATAGAAAAATCCCATAAAAGTCAAACAATAAAAATCTATTGGAGATATTTCACAATGGCATTCAATGATCAACTGTATGCCAAGGCAAATACACTTTGCTGAGAAACAATTCTTGTGGAACATCTTTTAGCCGACTCAACAGTTTTATCTGTATTTTATCGGGCATTATTTTTAACTAGACTACGTAGGTGTGTTGCAATGCTCGAATTATTTCACCTGCCTTGGATTTTTCACTGTAGTCCTGTTTTTGTTTTTGTTTTTTAAAAGATGTAATTTATTCTGGAAGCTTACCGGTTGCACGCACACATTATTCGTACGTGCACGTTATTGAGCTGGGTCGCGAGAGTAATCCGAATAGTAGTTAAGAATAATATTTTTTCAGGGGATAGATAAAAGGCTGCAGTCAGATAAAGCACCGCTCTATATTAAGCTTTACCTACCAGACCCTTTTTCAACACCGTTACATTTTGTAAACTTTTAGATTCATTTATCATATACTAAACTTTTAGGCCAACAAATAATTACAGGCCTCGATAACGAAGTATAATTCTAGACATTTAGAGATAAATTAATAAATCACTGTAAATCTATTTTTTTTTTCCAGTCAACATTGTCGATTGTTCGAATCGGAACCTTACGTCGAATCTGGACGATCACGAATGGCCGAGTACACCGTTGGAGTTGATCACTTTTGAAAACAATCAAATCGCTAAAATCAAACCATTTACCAGTAACGTCGTCGTCAAAGCAATCAAACTTTGCCACAATAAGATCGACATGATCGAGCATCATGCTTTTAAGTGGACTTACAATCTCACGGAGCTTGATTTGAGTCACAATTTGCTTACCGCTGAGAACCTTATGCCTTATGCTTTCGAGGTAAGATAACAATCAATTGAATTTTTGACGGGTAAATGTCGAGTGGTTTGAATATGCAGGTACCTGAGTAAGCGTCATAAATTGATGCATTTTTTATTTTTATTATTTCACTGAGTTTCTGTGACTTATTTTAATGTTCAACCAATCATAAACTGAATAAAGCGAAGAAATAAATAAAACAATACTTTTTCATCTCGACAGGGACGATTTCAACTAGACGCTTACGCACCTCTGAAAAAACTGCAAGTTTTGAATCTATCGAACAACTTGTTACACTCAATCAACCGCGATCTTTTCGAGCATACTAAAGATTTGAGAACGTTAATATTGTCAAACAATCCGTTGGAAGGAATCGACGTACCGGTTATGTATTCATTCGCCGAGTTGCCGTATCTCGAAGAATTGCATCTCAGTAACTGCAGTTTAAAGAAAGTCGACGAAGCTATTTTGCATTCATTCAGGTATCTATTCTTTGCATTTATTTAACTTCTCACTTGTACTTACGTAACTGTTAAATATTCATGCGCAAGGTCTACGCTGAAAGCTTCTTTTTCATTTAGTAAAAGAACACGAATCCTTGTATCATAAAATAATTTTTCTTTACAGATTCTTAAAGAAGTTGAACATTAGTTACAATAATTTCTTCGTACTTCCCGATGCTTTGAGCCAGACAAAGCCATTAGAAGTTCTCATAATGGATGGCAATCCTATCGAATTGTTAAACGAAGCTAATGAGTTTCCATTAATGCCAAACTTGAAAGAATTGCAGATGAATAATATGACTAGATTACTCGCTATCGACAAAGGGTCTCTTTCCAATCTCGAGAACCTCGAGATTTTATCGATTGAGAACTGCCCGCTGTTGGAAGAAATCGATGATGAAGCACTTGCCAAAAAGGTATACATGTTAAACCATTCTTTTTTACTCTACGGCAAAGACAGGTTTTTTTTATAATAATACACCTACGAAAGTTTCGGCTGACGTCTAATAAAAATTCAATCCGATCGTGACACATTTAGTTCTGCACCACTTGAAAACGTCTTTATGATATTATCATTTTCACTATTTAACAATAATCAATGAACAGTCAACTTTTTATACTCCCGAGTACATTGCTTGAATAAAACGCCATTGTACATTGCAAAGCAGCAAGAACAAGGAACTACAACGTGGCCTCCACTGAAGAAGCTGTATCTGTCGAACAACGCACTGCGCTATTTACCGGCAAGCCTGGTCGCGAGATGGGATAAACTCGAAGAATTGCGCATAACGAACAACCAATGGAGCTGCGATTGCGACAATCAATATCTCGTAAGTTAAAGGCGTGAATTATAGTTCGACTTCCCTTCTTTTTCTTCTTTTACGGGCGTTCAGGCAGATCAAAGTCGCATAGATACATCGATCCACATAAGAGAGTTACTTTGCCAATTGAATTCTTTCGCTCTACATGTGCAATGATTGAGTCGTCTCTTTTATTCGAACACGTCTTTCTCGCGGCGAGATATATGCGAATAGAAAATAATATTTTCTTGATATTCAAAGTGCGTAAATAATTCTGTATTACAGGTATTGACCGTATTGATCATGATATTTAGCTAATGAATCATACAATATCTACGACGTGCGTGTTGCTTGGTTCAATTGTTATATTTCAAATTTTTTTGTTCTCAGAAACTATGAACTAATTATATAGAATAACAGAAATGAATTTTGGAAAATAAATTTTTTTGAATAAATTTTTTACGAGCTATTTTTGGCCTATACGAATAATTTATTAAAAAAAAAACATTTGAATAGTCAGATAATTTTTTAATTTATCTAATGTTCATGCTGAGATGTGTTGACTGATGTATCTTCACAATGGGTATAACCTGTCGTTTTAATTCTATATTAATAACATTAGAAATGATCATAAATGTGAAAAACATTGAAAACATAAAGAAATCATTCGTTACAATCTTGTTTCACTGTATAGACGAGATAAACAAAATGAGGTAAAAAATATTTTGTACAAAATTTTTCGTAATGCACAGTAAATATTTCAAACTTTGATTTTACAACAATTAGTTGTACGATCCAAATGAAATGTTTCTTGTGCTCTACGTTACTCTTATGTATCTCAACGCGCTCTGGTACTTTAGTAATGAATTCTCTCAACCATCGAGTAATCTCACCCGGCACGTTAATCTTCTCCAATCTCCTCTATCTATTGAACAATAGTATAGAAATTAAGATTCAAGCTATCATGAAAAAAAAATTTAACTCTCGCGGTAAAATACTTTTTCAGTGCAAACGCAAAAAAAAGAATAAAACATATATATATAAATACATATATATTCTAGATCAGTACACTGCTTGTCGAGCAAGGAAAACGTCTAATGGGTACCAACGTAATCGCATCGCTCACCTGTTCAGCACCACCAGAGCATCGTAACCGAACTCTCATGTCACTCTCCAATCGCAAGCTTCGCTGTCTGGATTACTATGGTGCCCGACCGGAACGCGACGCTGCCGTTCTCGTGGGTATGCTACTTGGAGTTTTACTAGCCGTACCAGTGGTACTCGTGATATTCATCTTCTGGAAGAGAGGATTCTTCTTCTGCGGACGACAGGGTCCTGCGAGTTTTTCGCGTGCTTTTTATAAACGCGCAGAGCCTTGCGACTATGATATTTAGGAATACAGACTTTCTTTTGTTTTTTATACTTTTTTGTATTACTGAAGAGCGTTATGTTTGACTTAATTACAAATTTTATTATTTTGCTTGCTTGTGCTTCGATTCGTTTATTCGCGATGGATATTTTATACGTTATATTGATTGTACAGGAATGTTATTCACAAGAGTTACTGTTTCATTGAAAAGGAATGTACAATCCGTCGATTACTATTTTAGTCCCAGTGTTTTCTTATAACAATTTTATTTTTACACCATGCCAGAGAACAAAAAGATTATATCAAATGTACATTTATAATAAATTATTCCAACTAACATTTATAATTATACGTTGTTCTTATTTAGCTATTCAGGAAATTCGATTGGTAAAATTAAGTAAAAGCAGAACGCTAAACTTACTAAAATTGATTTATAAATCTGATATAACATACGAGTCTCAAATGAAAATTAATTTATTTGCCGTTTAGGCGCGGATTATTTTAGTTATAAATATTTATAACGTATTTTTCATCTGCACTAGACATGAGTAAACTAAAAATTAAAATAATACGTATATTCAATGGAAGTATGAACTGAATTTGCTTTACGAACAATATTCTTTCGTGAACGTTGAAATTCGAAGATTGTCCCCGTAGGTTACAAGCACACTACCTTTAGTCTTGAGTAGATGTACCATATGCGGGCTGTCTGTTCGCAACGGTCTTGCACACTCGAGCTAGACAGCTAGTCCGAGTTAACTGCTGCTTGCAAGCTACCGAATAAATGTGTTGGCTATCCCTGAAGACCCGAAACGTGCGATTGCCGCTGAGGATGTAAGCACAGAGCGTCGGTATCAAAGTCATAAGCACGAGTGCTTTGACTAAATAGAGGCTGCGCAGATTGCGGTGTTTACGCGTTCGAATGCAATTAGACGTAGCGCCCGCGTAGGTTAATTCACTCAACTATCGACCGAGCTGCTGCTGTTGCTGCTGGCGATGACCAGTGCGTATTCCTTTCGACAGGTAGATTTGTCCGCTCGAGTGCGGATGCGCGCGTCCTATCGGGAAGCCGGCTTGCTCGCGGCCGGTTAGTCTCGTGAAAGCGGCTGCGTATCGGAGGATTCGCGCGCATGCGACGCACGCAAAACCCGAGGGGGGTGGCACTGTGCTTTCGGTACGGAGAGGAATTGTTGCGCGGTGGATTATATCTATTATAGGTATCGTCTTTTCAGAGATGTTCGCGCTGACGGCCACTTTCAAAAACAGAAGAAACTGAGATTCATTTTAAACGCGGCACAAGTTATCCTTTGCTATCTTGTTTTCACGGATCCCCTTATTATGATAGGGTTGATGGCTCGACGACGGCCGCATTCAAATCAGCCATTATCAGTCCTCTGTGCTTGGCAAATTCAACTCAAAGCAAAAAAGCGAACGTCTGAAAATTTCCAATCTGCTCTAACGTTTTACCAATAATGTTGAAATCATCGGGGAAATGTGGAGCAACAATTGAGAAAGAAAGCACGCAACGTGGAAAAATGGCCAGGCATCTGCGGAAAAATTTCGGTCACGTAATCGGCACTTTTGCAGTAAACTTTCCTGTGACGGCGGCGTCGGTAGCTTAATCAGCAACCACGAACGGCGAATAGGAAAACAGTTTTCCCGCGGGACGGCGGCGGGGGATGGGGGGGGGGGGTCTCGGTTTATTCGCCTGCAGTACATAATACCTCAATTCCGGGCGAGGGTAGGGAGGGCATAGAGGCTCGAAATAAGCGAAAAGAAGAAGCTGCACCTGCGATATACGCACACGAGGATATAATAGGCGCGCGTACGTAGAGGGTCGGCGCCGGGGGCACACAAGCAAACGTCTCGCGGGTAGTCATGGCGACAGACTCCACCCGGCGATTCGCCGGGGGGATGGCGTTGCCGACGTCGGCCAATCGGGCGACGAAGCTTTTCCTGCTACCCCTCCGTCGCCAGCGCTTTTCATCGTTTACCATCGCCAGCGGGACACATCCAACGTCATGAGGATCGGGTTGACTGCTCGGCCGCAAAGCTGTTTTGAGCACGTGATACACGGCTGCGCTTGCGAACGCATCCCCGACGGCTGACTGACTGCTGGCTTTGCCCGAGACTAATCAACGGGATATTCGGTCCAAGAGGTTATCATCGTACGTGGTATGGCTAATAGGCCACTGAAGACCGCTTGATTGTCGTTGATTGTCGACTGAGTGATGAGATCGTATGCTAGTTCGACGATTCTGTTGCTTTCCTTTCGTCAGAAGGTGAAGGGTGATTTCTGTTTGTGAATACCAATGAAACAGTGAATTATAATTTTATGGCAGTGGTTGAAGACGATGTTAGATTGAAAGCGATTGGAAGTCATTTATAAAAGTTACAAGACAATTGACGTGTTGAAATTCCCCTTTCAAAATGGGATCGACGTACAACAATCTGGTAGCAATTTGCCCGATGACCGAATTCTACAGTGCTTAATCTTTGAAAACAATGGATACGTTGAGCTGTTGTAAAGTTTTTTGTTGACATTGTATTTGCAATGTTAGATAATACAAATCTTTGTAACAAATGTTGCTGGATTACGAAAAGGAAAACTTGATTTCGAAAAGTGAGTATTTTTATCACGCACTGCGTGAGTAGATAATTCCAATTTTAATTATTTGCTTAACTTTCTGATAGAAAAATTCGAAAGATTCCAATTCATTAAATATCTATAATTTCCATAATATGATAAAATGATATGACATTGTCCCAGCATTACATTATGTATTTAATTAAAATTATTTGAATAATCATCTTAGACAGAACAATCGTAATAGAGTTTATACTGTTGAGTGATTTATTTTGATTAGTGGTGAGCACTACCTATCTATATTGACTTTTCAAAACTAAATAATTTTACAATTAGGACAGTATGTTGTGTCAAATAAATATGATTCGTTACAACAACAATAAGTAATCAAAACCTTCAAAAATCCTTGGAAAAGATTTTCCTTCAATAAGAATTCAGTAGTCCGACAAGTTCTCGTGTCGCGATCTAAAACCACATGGCACTGACGACTTGATGAATTTCCTGACTTTCGTCAAAATATCACAATACAAGCTCGAAAGCAAAAAAGAAACCAAGACCACCCCGCAGGTACGAAGGAGCATCGCGGCCCGAAAGCGATGCAGTCGACGACGTGCCAGCAGCAGCAACAACATCAGCAGCAGGCAAACAACAACGCTGCCAATAGTTCGGCGAGTCGTACGTCCTTCCTCATCGAAGATATCCTCAGTCGCGGCAGCGTCAGCGCGGCGGCGGCCGCCGTCGCCGTGCACAACAGTCATCACGCGTCGTCGATCAGTCATCATCAACAGCAGCAGCAACAGCAGATTGCCGCGCACGTTTCGCAAGCTCATCAGCAGCAGCAGCAGCACGCGGTACAGCCCTCGTCTCTTTGTCGCTTATCGAAACGAGCTTTTCCATCGCTGCCAAAACCGCGTGTCCGCATTTGCGCGCTCGCTCGCGAGAAACGCATTGTCACCGACTTTACGCACACCCGTGGCAATGCGTTTACTTATGGAGCACGTGGATTTGCCGCGAACGAAGAGTTGTCGTTTTCAAGTACATCACGAGGCGATCGAGTTGTTTCAGCAGTATCAGCAATTCGCCATCAATAATCTGCTTCCGGGTTATCCGACGGCACCACCGACCGCCGCAGCTTTCTTTCTTGGACCGCTGTTCGGTGGCGCGGGGATGGGCGTTGGCGTTGTACCTGGCGTTGGTGATCTCGCTGCACTTAAGCACTGCAGGCGACGGAAAGCGAGAACGGTGAGAACCATCATTTTTAAACTTGTACCTTGACGAGTGGCTATTTTTTTTAAATTCTAAATTAAATTCTATTGAATTTGCGAAAGAAAAGTTTTTTTTTGCACCGATTGCAATAAATTTCGTGATTTAATATTGCTCGAAATAAATTCTGAATTGAATCATACGTAGACTGAGCATTCAATGGCCGTTGAAAAATTACATTCAGGTATTCAGTGACCAGCAGTTAGCAGGTTTGGAAGCGCGTTTCGAGGCCCAACGTTATTTGAGCACACCGGAAAGAGTCGAGCTCGCAGCGGCACTTCACTTATCGGAAACACAAGTGAAAACTTGGTTCCAGAATCGACGCATGAAGCATAAAAAGCAGCTCAGGAAGCTCAACAGTAACAGCAGTTCTGGAGGTGGAGGTGGCAGTTCTGGAATAAGTGCCAATTCGTCCTCGTTCACGCAAGCTACTAGTGGACAAAATTCTACTTCACCTGCTGGTAATTATTGGTGATCGATTATTATTCTCGTTTAAAAAATTAAAATCCACAAATTTACTTAGAGATGAGTCAAATGAACGAAAAATTATACTTGGAAGATTTTACATAATAGAAAAATCATTGAGACGAATGGGCAACATTTCTTCAATAGATTATTTGAGGACTAACCACCTAAAAATTATTAATTTTTATTTAACTTCCAAGGTGCAAGTCTGCAGATCAAAATTAAATTATAACGCCATTATAAAATACTTAAATAATTCAACCAATAACCAAATGAGATTCAAAATGTCAAAAAAGAATTATATTGTCTAGTTTTCGTTTCTACAATGGATAAAATTTCACTAGCTCAACTTTTTCTAATGACCTAATCGTACATTTGCGTATCAATAAAAAAAGAATACAAAAAAATGTTTTCTGTTTAACGAACAACGAGGAACTTTATAATGAAAATTAAACGACAAATTTTCACAAATCAACAGACGAGAAGGCCAAAAATTGACAGGCCAAAACTGAACCGCTCATTAAATAGTTGTCGAGAGATGAGCGACGCGGCAGTTGTGGTTTTATCATGGCCGCGCGCTCAATCTGCTGCTGGGCAGAGGCAAAATTTCAGCGACAATAAATCACTTAAAGTCCGTGTAGTCCACAACAGAGAATTTCGCCATTATCGACTGTACTACTTGCTCCCTGAAATCGCTTGAATTTGACCAAATTCCTGATTGGACCGACATTTTGCATGTATCCGCTTCATCTCGCTCGTTCAATTGGCCACGTTAATTGTTGCCGTTCGTCAGATTTGTTGGAGTTAACATTCCTTTGCACAAATTGTTGGAGCTAAAATTTTTTGCTTATAACATTATAAACATTATTTAACGCTTTAGTACTACTTTCGATTTCCATAAAAATTAAATACGAACATTTCATTTTTAGTTAACGCATAAAAAGAAATTAGCAATATCTTTATAATAATAAATAGGCTTTAAGGCAGAAATTGTTCTAGGCGTAAATTACTCGAAGAGCGTACAAATGAAGTTCTTTTATGGTTAGAGCGACCGCTTTTAGCCTGACTATGTATGGTCATTAGCTACTTTACGATCCTTCATTACCGTTGCTCTATACTTCCTTTTTTTCATAAGACCTGTCGTCACCTCTAAAAGGTGATAAAATAATGTACACAATAAAGAAAAAAAAAAGTCGTCTAGAACTCTTACCAAGTTTTTCCTCGTTCGTCGTCGTCAATTTTACATTAAGTGGTACGAGTCATTTTAGTCAGACATCGAAAAGTCTGATTTCTCTGCGTTTATTCTCGCCAAATTGTACCCTGCGTCGCTGGAAACGAGTTAAATTGCACGAATCGCGCGGAGAGACGTGAAATTATATTATAATTCTCCGTTGGATACGCGAATATGAGAGGCTGTTCTCGGGAAGACGTAATCGAAGTTAACTGCCTCGCTTTGTAATACCTGCAACGCTACTGCGATATCGCATAATATACCTTCCATTAACTCTGTGCTTTAGTGCTCCCGTGTTTTGTCTAATTAATTATACCAGTTACCGAGGTGGAGCTTCATTATTCTGCTGCAATTAATCGAACTAGCGAGCAAGACTTATACCTAGTCTTAGTTTGATGAAGCAGCTTTTTTTATCAGTATAGAAAAAAATGAGAGCTTCATCGTTGATCTTCCTCTCATGATAAGCAACTTTCATGCAAAGCTTTCGTGTAGACGTTGTCTTCAATATCGTTGGAAATTCGCTATTAGAAAATAAATGCCTTGTTGGCAAATTGTTTTTAATGAAATAGAAATCTGCAATGTCATTGATGATGTTTCATAGCTTTGTATTTTTATAACAACGAAAAAAGCCAAACAAAAGTCTCATGAGAATAAAAAAACATTGAATTTTTAATAGTCAGCTTCGTTGCACATCAATGGCACAATTTCTGCATCAAGACATTTCAAATAATGAATTTAGATGTGAAAGCAAAGAGTCATTTTGAACGAAACGAAAACCACACCTTCAAAATTCGGTCAACGCTAACAGTGAATAAGAAACAAGATCTAAAGACATAAATATCTGAAAATCAGACGAGGGGCAACCGATTTAGCTATCCCTGAAAGTCCCTTGCTAAGTCACCGCAGCAGTTACAGTAGCAGCAGTAGCAGTAGCAGCAGCAGCAGCAGCAGCAGCAGCAGCAGCAGTCTGCTGCAGCACTTGTCGTCTCGAGGCCAAGATGGCTCCTAGCGGTACGTAACTAACGAAGTTAGCTCTCTCGACGTCTTCTCTACTGCTTCTCTCGTCCGATCGACACTCTCTCTCGCTCTCTCCTTCCAAGACTTTGCAGCAGCGTCTTAAAACCTCGATTCGGGGTCTTCCAGAAAATTAGTCAATTAGATCGTCGTCCTCCTAAGTGCTCTGCCGCCTCCTATCTATCTTGCCTGCTGCTGCTGCTGCTGCTGCCAGTGCGGCCGATTGTTCGCCGTCCTCCGACCGAAGATGGATAAATTGCTTGCCAAACTAAATTAGCGTAGAAGAGTGTAGTAGAGAATGAGAAGCCGCTTATTTTCTTTTTCTTCTCTAGATTTGCATCGCAACTAGTTATGGGGCTTCGTTCGTTTTCGGAGAAAATAGTTAGATTATTGATGGTTTATCAATAGCGGTGGTTACTTTCTTCTCTTGTTGGGTTATTCTCTTGTTGGGTCGAATTATTGATTCGAAATTCTCCAGGCATTAAGAATCTGCGCCATTTGGTCTTTCACGCGGATGCAATTTTCGTAAAAAAATGTTTTGTTACTTATTATTTATGAAACTTATTATTGACTGTATGGTCACTCAATTTCTTTGGGAAAAGACGATTTCGATTTAATTATAACATCCAGATTTTCAAGATATAATAAATTTGAATTGATATTCAACTCTCGGACAATTTTAACTGATTCAAAAGTTATATATATATAGAATAACGACCAGTTTGGTTAGAAATAGTGTCCTTTTTTCAATGTTGGACATCTGTATTTCAGCTCTACACCTTTCAGTTTAGTATATACAACTTCTATACATACCATTCAACATCTTTAATCTATAAAAACAATTTTAATGGATCAAAAATAATAAAAATGATTTTAAAGATATATTATTTCGATTTCTTTGCATTACTTCATTTTGATCCATAAGATTTCACGACTTAAAATTATTATTTATTTCAAAATAAAAACAAAACCAAACAGAGCGACCAGTGGACTTCTCACTCGGACCGTCAACCGGCGGCGGTCGTGAGAGTCGAGGATCGAGCGACGCAATGGCCGACTCGGATTCCGACGAAATCGACGTACTGGGCGATGAAAGTCCTGGCTCGCCGCGACACTCATCGCCACTTCCAAAGGAGCATCACTCATCGCTACATCATCACCCTGTACATCACCATCACCATCACGTCGTGCATCCGCAGGTCATTGGCCTTGAGCATCTGCAACGCCATCATCACTGAGACACGTGTGCGTAAGTAGGACTCTCGCATGTGATGTGCTCTTTATAAAGCAAATGTTTCAATTTAATTTAGTTTAATTTTATTATTTTTACTTCTTGCGCGAACTTCGTTCCGGTTTTATTTATCGTTCGCATAAGCGAAGACGGTTGTCCGTTGTTAATGAGGATTCGTTTGTTTAATTGTTTTTCTTTATATCTCACTTGTATTAGTTATAAGATGAGGATTCAATTGAATTGAATTTGTCGCAGTTGAATTTAAAGGATGCGCTAGCACATATTGTGTAATTGTCGTGCACTGATACTGCAATTTACGTGATTTTTTTTTCGAATGTCCCGGCAAAGTCATGTGAGTCAAATTTGGGATGACTGAACACTTTGGAATGACGAAATTTCGGGTCACAGAATTTTTTAGTTTGTGAAAGAGATATAGTTAACTGAAGGTTGTGCAATAGATGATTGATTTAATTATGACTTTTTGAGTTTATATTTTTTCACAATTTCTGTATTTATTTATATGTATGCTAGATATATTAAATTACTTTTTAATTTGTACTTGTAAAATTTATTTCGAAAATCGATTTTTAGTGTAGATATTGGTATACTACTGTGACACTCACGTGGTCCAAATTTGTTGATCATAAAATACGATCATTTACTTACATAAGTTTGCCGTCGAATGGAAAAAAAACCAAACTACGTTTCCATTATGTAGAAACGTAAAAATAATCAAAGATTTTAGATATGATGCCATATCTTGTTTATAGTGCAATTCAAACTAGAAACATACAATAATAAAGTGAATAAAACAGCGTAAACAAAATGTTGGCAAATTTTCAACGCAGAACTACCAAGATTTTCAGAGGAATCCGATAGTTGACACGAGAGAAAAGTAACTCATTACTTTTGTAGAGAAAAGAAATGATTATACCGAGCTTAATAATTGTAGAAACAAAGAAGTGTAAAATTTTAAGCAAGCGATTTAGCTACATCATTATTCATTGTAAATACCGATTTTAATATCGCTAAAAAAATGAAAAAAAGACAAATGTAAGTCCATCAAAGTCAGTGATAAATAACCATTAAAAAAGGTAAAAAACTATTGCAAAGCTGTTTCACTCAATCCTTCCCCACTCAAAGTGACATTTCACGCAGTGAGCGCAAAAGATAATTGTTGTAACGACGACGATGAGATAAAAAAAAAAGAAGAGAGCACGGCGTCATCGGACACTCGTCGAGCTTTTAGCTCGTAGCAGTCGCTGAAAGCCATTGATCGAAAGAGAAAGAGAGAGCAGAGCCACGCGTTTTGCGTGGGGGACAGGGTAAAAGCTCGGCGCTCTCGCGCCGCGTCGACGAGCGACAGTAGCATTATCCCCCGCTAATTGGCGCGAGATTAGTTGCAGCTGGCCATGGCTCTCTCGCTCGCTACGCTGCTGGTGCTGGTGCTGCTGCTGCTGGGCGAGATCATCGTTTGCCGGCCATTTTCGTCCTTCACGAGCTAACGAGCGCCCGTCATCGACGGCTAGTTTTGTCATGTAACGGCATTGTCCATCGCGCCGCGACGGCTATAGTTTTGGCGCGCCGAGCCAACAGTTGCGATCAAATGACTTCGCTGCCCTCCCCCCTCACCCCTGTATTATTCTCCGTGTTCGTTATTCAACAAGAAGTGACGATGCCTTATTCGGGGCTGAATTTTTAGTTTCCTTCTTTTTATTGGATTTTCGTACGCAACGTACACTTTCGAGGAGTTCATGTGGGAGAAGAGAGATAATTGGACTAATCATTTGAAACAGTAACGTGTGAAAAAAATGTTCGAGTTTCACAAGGTAAAATCGAGACTCCCAAATAAATTACTCGCCCGTTTGGCGATCTTCGAACAATGCCCTGTTGCATCCCGTTCTTCAATAAAATTATTTATCGCTATGTGCACATAAAGAATCTACAAGATCAAATAAAGTCACTGAACTGACACGAAATCCCCGAGTGAAAAACGAAAAATTCAATATATCCAAGAGACCCGGCAAAAAAAATAATTCGTTGAGAGGTGACGAGATATTCGAGCGAAGTATGCCGTAGAGAATGCGAATAAAAAAAAAGAGGGAGCAAAGCTGTCCTTGGGAGGGGGGCGGGGAATGAAAGGTCCGGCGTGTACGCAGGATCCCTTAGTCAAGCGAGCTGCGAGGCGAATCTTAATACTCGGATAATGGGAGGTAATTGCAAGGGATCAGAGAGCGGCCGAAAGCAGATTTCAGGGACGCGTGCTGCTGCTGCTTCTGCCAGAACGTGGGTTCGATCGTATATTATATGTACATAACTGCGAGTCGAGAGCGAAGTCTGTCAGGGTATGAGTTGCGAAGATGCTCGAGTTTTACATTTTTCTTTTTTTTTGAAATATTTACGCTTTAAAGAAGTTTTATTAATCGGGATAATTGAGTTACTGGCTGTAAGTCAATGAGAATTTCTGGCAATTCGTATTCTTTTTGAATGTTTTACAATATGAATGCGAGTTGTCACTATGCTTAAAATAATTCGAAATCTGAGAACATTTTCACAGCATCACTCCACTCCAACCGGAATAACTTATTAGAAGAAGGCAATAACAGTACTTAGCTTCACTCGTATCTTCGATTATGATCTATACTTCCATTGATAATTATGAAAAACTTAATTAGATAGTCAACTAATCCGTATAAATTTCAGATCGGTTTGACAGCTACGCACTAAATAGTAATATACTTTTAGTAGATTATTAAATTGACGGATCATACTACTTCATCGGAAAATAGAGCTTTTGCAGCTATAAAGAGTCTCTTATTTACAACAATTACAAAATTCTCGATATCTAATATCTAATTGACCAACAACGTGCAAATCATAACTTATTAGAAAATAATAATATACAGTTTTTTTTGATAAAAGCTTTTTACTGTACACTTTTTACATAACCGAACATCGATTTGCATTGAAACTCAAGCGTACGTGGTCAAACTTGCCCAATCGTCGGTCCATAAAAGTTCCGGGCGTCGAGTGAACGCAACCCACCATTACGTTTCTCCGAGCAAAGAACGCAGACGCGGAAAATTGATCCGAGTCGCGCGAAAGCTCCATAGCTACGCGCGCGGGGAAACGTCGCGAGTGCGCCGGAGAGATAAGCGAAAGCGCGTGCGCCAACTCGACGAGGCGGAGCTTTCAACGCCAGCAAGTAGCCGAGGAGGGGCAGCAAACTCTCGGGGGAGAGAGGGATTAATTGATGGAATCATTTTGGGGATCATGAGGCTATTTATTAGTGGCTTCGAGATCGCGAGTGCGTTTAACGTTGTGCGCGTAGATGTCGACGTGTAGGAAATTTCGCGACGTGTAATTGCATCTTCACTCGTTGATTTGATAAATACGCGACTTGATTGATTTCTAAATTAATTGATTGATAAGGTAAAAATAACGCGGAATAAGCGGCGAACAAGAGCATTTCGAGGGGTTGCGCTCTGAAATTGCAGACGGACAGGTGTTACATTATTCTCACGCCGTATATACGTACGCGAAGTTGTGTGAAGCGCCCTGAAAACCGGACGTGAGAGGACCGATCAGTTGGCGCGTCCCTCCGAAATTTCATTTGCGCCGCTGCTGCTGCTTCGACAACACGCAGCGTCGAAAAATTGCCCAACGTCCCTCGCTCTCGCACGCGCGCACGAGAGAGAATAAAAAAAATTAGAGAGCCGCACACGAACGCCTTGTAATTGCATTATCGACATGCACGCGTGTACGCGCCGAAAATGGAATACGGAATCTCGCGAGAGCGTTCTCTTGCAAAGAGCATATTGCCTTGGCAAGATTCGCATGTTGTTTTATTGCTCCCTTTCCGTTTTGTTATTGATTTGCGGAGGAAAGCTTCCGGCATATAGTCAGAGAGAATATTTATTTGCACTGGAGGTGGATTTTCATGGAACAGATTTTTTTTTCTTGTTCGTGGGTTTGCAGCGTATGGCGTACTGTTAATTAAAAGCTACAGAATATATTGAAAATATTTTTATCGCTGAAGCTTTCAAAATAGGTCAGTCCGTTCACTAGTTTTTTTTCATATACGCGGCATATGCAAAGTCAACAGTCCTCTGATTAAATTCACCCGTCAAATTAAAAAAAAATCCCACGCAATATATATCAACTACCTATAAATCTCGAAAAAGCGTTTTTGCAGCAACGAAATAGCTCCAACACAAACTTCTACCTCATTCACTCTCATTCTCTCACAGTAGAAACGCTCAGAAGACAAAAGAGAGGGTAGAACAAAAAGGCGATAGGAGGAGAGGAGACAAAAAGCCATCGGGCATTCTATCGCGATAGCACACAACCAACTCGTTCCCCGTTTATTGCGCGACGTTCGTTAGATTTCATTAAGATGAGCCTTACTCCGTCGAAATAGACGAGGATCCCTCTTTATTGTTTTCACCTGTTTGTCACGCTCCCCCAGCGGTACGCGGCTGAAGCAAATTAAGAGATGCAGATCGCTAAATTCTTGATTATTAAAATTGACGCTTTTATCGCAGTAAATGAAGCTATTGCGCGCATTGTACTTGCTTTTCATTGTTCAGATTTAGAAAGGTAATTAATAGTGAAAAAATGATTTTTTTTTTAATAAAACTTATTTGTTTGATTCTTTCTAGAGAACTTTGATAAATTAGCTGAAACGTGATAGAGAAAACTTGACTGTTCAGCATTTGAAGCTGAAATTGGCAAGACGCTATAATTAACGGTATTCGTACGACTGGTTCACGAGACAAAATGAAAAAAGAGAAAGATAAAAATGTAAAAGAACGTAAGCGCTCGGGATCGAAAAGACGAAAGCGGAGCAACTTGAAAGTATACGAATCCCAGCGGTGAGCTGCCGGTGTGTCGTCGTGTCCCGTACAGCAAGAACCTGCGACAATCTGCGATCGAAACCATGAACGGCTCGGCGCGGCGCCGCGCGTACGCCTCGGCAAGGCCAATCTGGCGCCAGCGTAGACGCGCCACAAGTACGTTCGCGATAATCGGACTTGATCACAGAGCAACCCCATGCACGCCACGGGTAGAAATATAATAATGAAAAGTAACGTACCACGCCCACTGCATTTAGCGACGTTCCCCACCTCCCTCTCGCTCCTACATATACCTGCCACTTTCATTGTCCTTTGTTTCATTATTTTCTGCGCGAGCGCGGATGCGATGTCACCACCCTTCTGTTCCACCCTTCTGTGTGTGTGTGTGTGTGTGTGTGTGTGTCTGTGTGTGTGTGTGTGCGCGCGCGCGCGAGAGAGAGAGAGAGACTCCCCACTTGATACCGCGCACGCTCTTCAATCTTGTCGTCCCCGCGCACGCCGTTTACGGCTCCGCTTTATGTCGATTTTTCTTTTATCTTCTTATGGCGCTACCCGTGAAAAGAAGAATTCGCCCGGGGCGCGACGCTGATGGACAGAGTGAAAGAGAGTGAAAGACCAGCGATGCTGAAGACGCTCGTGGATCGCTCGATAGTCATTTTATCTTTCGATGATCGCTGATGCCTCAGTTTCCAGAATCTTTAAATTTGCCATTCGAACATCTTCAGACAGATGAAGGTGGTTTTCTCTGCTCTTCGAATGAAATGCCGAAGCAGTTCCTTTTTTGTCCGTTAATCCGTGAACATTAACGAACCAAACGATCAATGATTCCGGGCGTCGGGGTGCCAAAGCTCGAGGACAATGCGGAGATTTCTCAGATGACTGGCGTCAATTTGACAATAAAGTCGGCCAATCGAGAGCAAAATTAATTTTGAAAGCTCGCGCGCAGTCCCATATTATTCGCGACAAATGCGATCGACCTTCGGCAATAAAAGAACGAGAAAGAAGAAACGAATTTCCCTTTAATCACGAGCAGAAATCTCCGTTAAATGCCGTGAAGCGAGAGACAGAGCAGCCGGTAAACGCATTAGAGGCATTTCGAATAGAGTTAAGGACAATAAGTAGGCGTGTGCTTGTTGTCGTTCCCGTCCCCCGCCTCCATCCTGCACTGACACTACACGCCTGTAATCCCGACATCGGAGGGGGATACCGT